ATTTGTTTCACAAGTGGTACCACAGGTAAGATTTATGTGTAGTTTTACCTTGGGACGGATGAAAGTAGGGAGTAATTATTTCAGCCTGCTAAACCTGACGATGTTTACACAATTTGTTTCACAAGTGGTACCACGGGTAAGATTTATGTGTAGTTTTACCTTGGGGCAGATGAAAGTAGGGAGTAATTTGCTATCGCCGCGAGCTACACGGTTATGAGAACACCTGCAAAAAGCAAAGTCATTTTTTCTAAGGAAATAAAGCCTTCATTTGATGAAACAACATGTTCGTAACGATTCGTCATTGCAAGAAAATCGTTGTAGAAAATATATTTCGTTTAAAGCGCTTTTGCTGAAACATTGTATGTAAATATTAGCATTTTTGTAAATAATTATATTTTTGTGTATTTTTCTAAATATGTTAGTTGGGGGTAAGGGGTGGAGAGGGTTGTCGCAAATCTTTGATCCGCCCCTGATTTTAGGAGTCGTACCCCCGGGTAATTCTCTTGTGTAGTTTCACCAGTGGTACGTATATTGAACTTTGGTTATGACGTTCATTTTTAGGACAACCAAAGGGAGTGATGTTGAGCAACAAGAACATGATATCCTGCCTCGCTGCAACTTTTATACATTTTGAGAAGGTTTAGTAAAATGAAGATAGTATCTTTGCTGTGTTCTTTAGTTTCAATTTCTCCATACTTTCGTCTTTAGAATGGCTACCCAGTGGATTCAAGCTTTGTTCACATATCCTATCTTCCGCTTCCTCACATGTACGAGAGACTTGTTATGGTAACTGAAAAATATTTTACTTCCTGGTTTAAGTTGTTCTTTTAAGCTATAGATTTTTGTATTACGCCGTCGTCATTTGTAGATGATTATTTGCTGTGCTGGAGGTCGAGCTGGGTTCTTTCGTGGTGATGTGAAACTTCTTTTGGATGACATCCAGTTATTGAGGTAATTCTCTTGAAATTCATTCACTTGTTGTTGATCACTGTAAATCATACAATATGATGTGTAATTAATTTTTTAGGCCGACATTCTTCGCTTCAGTTCCTCGTTTGTTAAACCGTCTTTACGATAAGGTTATTTAATGTAGACAATCGTTGTTTGTTTGTGTGAAAGATTTGTTGCGCTCATTTGTCTGTGATTTTAATTCTGCAGGTTATATCAAATATTGAAAGTAGCAGTGGCTTAAAAAAATGGCTGTTCTGCAAGGCTTTTGAGTCGAAGAGAGCGGACTTGAAAAAGTATTCAATAGTGAATGAAATAGCTTTAAGGCCATTATGAAAATCTAAATATATTTATTTTCACTGTAGAGGTCAAATCTCCAAAAATACTTTGTGGGACAAAATAGTTTTTCATAAAATTCAGGTACGAAGCGGACAGGCTGTTACGTCACAGGTAACTATCTGTTACGTCACCGGTGACTATCTGTTACGTCACCGGTGGCTACCTGTTACGTCACCAGTGAGAGCCGTTTACTTCACTGGTAAGGGCTTGCTACACCTGTTACGTCACCTATGAGGCCCCGTTACGTCAACATTTTTACACTCGTAAAATACTTCATTCGTTTCATTAAAAAAGTTTTATCATGTTTCAAGGATATTGAGATCAGTGATTTTCCTTATATTTCCCGCTAATTGTTTTACTCTCACCTGGCCAATGAATTGTAAATTACATTTCGCTGCACCGGGCACTCGCCGTCATTCTTTCGGGAGACTGGTATTGAAACTAACTGACAACTTTCTTCTTTACAGGCAATTTTAGGTGGAAATGTAAATGTCATTCTCACAGGTGCTGCTCCTATTGATGGTAAAGTTTTAGAGTTTTTAAGAGTCGTTCTTGGATGTTTGGTTCGTATTTATTTATGACATCACGTTTCAACTGTGTTACCATGGTTACATCTTATTTCTCTTTGTATTAAGATTTTTGAAGGTTATGGTCAGACTGAGTCTACAGCACTTGTTTCTCTGACAAATAAACTTGATCTTTCACCAGGTACTACGTATTTCCGTATGAACACTTCTGTGGTACTTCATTTAAAATGTAATATTGTAAACGTTGAGAAAGTCAATATTAAGACATTAAGACCTAAGTAAGGTTGCCTGGGGCCTGGGTCTGAATAGTTGATTTGAAGTGTTTTGTCATCTTTTATTTATGTACAATGAACTATAATATCCTAGAAAATGAGCTAAAAAGCGAACACTTAATGTTCATCTCTATTGTTAGATTGTCACAATTACCTATAAACCCCATTCATATTAGCTACGTAGGTACCAGGCCCTGCAGTTGATAGCGCTATTATTGTAGTCATGTCCAGGTTTTTGTAATCATTTCTAATTAATAATGGTACAATGTTTTCCTAAGTATTTTACACAATATAGAGTGAATAACTCACTAGGAATTTTTCAACATATTTTATCCATCTGTATACTTATAATGAACCTGTCTTATACATGTCTATACCAACAGGTGACTATATTTTATCCATGTATGTACCTATAGGTCACGTTGGATCACCTAGTGCCTGTAACTATGTGAAACTTGTTGATGTACCAGAAATGAACTATTTTACTTCAAACAATCAAGGCGAAGTAACGAATCTTGTTTTTTATTTTCTACTTTGCTAATGTTATGTTACGATTGTGCATTGAAAGAATGATTTTTGTTTTAAGATATGTGTCTATGGTCCAAATGTCTTCAAGGGATATCTTAAAATCCTGACAAAACATCTCAAATGTTAGATGATGATGGCTGGTTGCATACAGGTGATGTAGGAGAATGGAAACAGGTCAGTTGAAGTTACATAGTAGCAAAGGATGTAAAATAATGTTTTTTTGTTGTTATCGAAATTAATGTGGGAAAAATGACGTTAACTGGTTGTTAATTTTTGCTAAGACATTATCTGTAAGCGAATTCAGGAAGATGATAACTAAAAACAGACATTTGACTTCAAGAATTTTACACCAAATACGAAGCAAGTTCCTTTGAAAGAAATTTATTATAATTTATTATAATATATTAATATTAATTTTATTTCTCAAAAAAGGAAACGATAGGAAAAATATTTTGTCATCATGAACAATTTTTTTTGTATTATCGTACTTTCATGCAAATATAGTGTACATTATCTTTTACTTAATGATTAAGTATGTGGTGAGGTGCTCATAATGTTTCTGTTTTTGTTTTATAGAATGGAACGCTTAAAATAATTGGTCGAAAAAAATGTATTTTCAAGTTGTCGCAGGTTTATAAAACATAAATGATAGCAACCATTATATATTTTGTTTTTTTTTATTTATCTTATTTGTGATTGTGTCTTTTAGGGCGAATATATTTCTCCTGATAAAATTGAAAATGTTTACATCAAATGTCCTTTCGTCGCTCAAGCTTTTGTACACGGTTCTAGTCTTAAGGTACTGGGGCGAGTTGTTCTGCATGGCTGTGAACTTTTGCTTGAAATTTTGATTTGATTCTTAATTTTTGAGATTTGGATTTGCAATAAAAATTACGATATCTTTTGCTTACTGCTGAGATCAAAATTCGTCTCAATTCACTAACTTTCTTATGGTTTGAGATTTGAAATAAAAAATTGCTCTTGATTTGCCAGTCAGGAAACGTGTTTGTTCAGTAAAAATTGATGAAAATGTACTCGCATTTGTTTGGAATATTTATTCGCTTAAAATGTTTGGCTTTGATTTTTTTGATAAAAATAAGAATGAATTTATGATTTCTTGTTTGCAATTTAGCATAATGTAATCTTTCCAATATTTAGTCATTTCTTGTTGGAATCATTGTTCCTGATGAAGAAATTCTTACAAAATGGGCCAAAGACAATAACATAAACAAATGTTTTGAGGAATTATGTCAGGATACGGTACTACATTAACATAGAAATTCCACATGTTTTTCATGGCATTCAAACGCTTGTACTTTCTATTACTTCAAACTTCAGGCCGTCAATGACATGATTCTGAATGACATCATCTCCAGAGGAAAGGAAGCAAAGTTGGCGTCGTTTGAACAGGTTTTTACTCGATAATTTTCTTTTGTAGTTTTATTTCACCTCATCTTATTTCTGCCATTATTTCAGGTCAAAGGAATTCATCTTCATTCGCAATTATTCACTCCAGATAATGGATTACTAACCCCAACCCTTAAGTCCAAACGATTTACGTTAGCGAAAAGATTTAATGATGAAATTGATCGTTTGTATGAAAAATTGGAGAAGATTCTAGCCAAGCCGAAACTTTAAGGCTGTCTTAGCTCGTTTATAGTTTAGTTTGATCGCTTGATTCTTCAGGGTAAAAATACATTGAAGACAAGGGTTTTAAAACCTGTTGGTCTTTTAATAGAATTTTAAACGTCAAAGTATATAAAATACAAATAATATCACGAATAAAGAGCGACTGCGGAGCATATTCTTTAATGGAGGTGGTATGGTTATTGACCACTGAATCCTAGAAAGTTGTTTACTAGTAAGGGATTTGGCTACAAAATTCAAAATGGAAGCGAAATTATTTGGGGGGGGATATAACTTCACAGTCCCCCTCGGTCCCTGATAAATGCATAGTGATACTTTGGAAGCATGGAACTAGGTTTAGGAAAGATTAAATTGATTAAGACCTAGACCGTGTTGCATCGAGGGTAGTTCAAAAATGATAGAAGCTTTTTTTAAATTCAAAAAACTTTTTTAACAACATTAAAAGTTTATGATGAATATTTAAGACTGACATAATCCCAATAGGATTCGCTCCAGAGTATTTTAAAATGGAAATAGATTGTAATGTATTCTGACCATCCATAGATCCGCCACTGGACCTAAATATTGTCGAACTAAAAATGTACGATGACTTGCAATATTATTCATGTTATGCACTTTAAGTAGCAATTTTTACTACTAAAGCAATTTCTAGGAACATTGCAAATCTTGAGGTGCTTATGTTGAAAATATATTTATTTGATAAATACAAAATAAAAAAGAAAACATTATTTCCAGTAGATTTGAGGTTGATACTTTATTTAATATCCTTCTTAATCCACTAAATAAATTGTCTACAAAATGCTAAAAGATTATTACATGGCTAAACACTTGTTGCTATAAAAAGTTCCAGTCATTTAGATGATCTTTATGCAAACATCATAAAATATAATGTAATTTATGACCAGTTAATGTTTGGATTACTTTTACTTACAACAACATTTTTATCTTAACTGACATTTACAATTTCTAAATTAAGGTCTGTTTATTAATGAAGAGACGAAACCTGAAGTTTGTTTAAACGAAACGTTTTACTTATTTTTGTAGGGGTAGGGTAGCAATATTTGATAATTTTCTGTTTAAAGACAAGTCTGTGATGTAATATCAGCTTTTCATATTTTTTTGTCGGAAATGAAGAATGATTTACGTGTCGAAAAACATTTCGTCTTTGGTTGGATCCCAACTGTTGTTTGGTAAGTGACAAAGACTCGTCAAGTTCTGTCTAACCTTTCATATAAACATGGTTCTTATAGTATTGTTTATTTATGCTACAAATATCTAGAATTATATCAACAAGTAAATGATTACATTTATAGCAATGTTCACTGATTAATTTGATGTTGAAGATTGTCGTTAAGATGACTTTTTTCAATACGACGGGTGGGTTAAGTCGTAGTGGGTGATATTTGATTGGAATAAAAAATTTTTTTTCACTTAATGTCCACGGGTTCTCCGAACGAAATGACTCTTTCACATCAACAACATCAATAATTGTCCCAAAACGATTTTCTAAACATTGCTATAAATTGTTAAAAAGTGTAAAAAAGGTAGTTTTTTCATTATGTTTTTCTGAAATAGAACCACAAATAATAATGATGGTCTCAACTCGCAACAATCATCTAAAAACAATTTTTTAAGCATTAGCATAAATTCTTAAAAAGTGAATGAAAGCTAGTTTTTATTTTGCTGTAATTTTCTGAAATTGAAAAGCACAAAAAATATAAGAAAAAAAGTATCAACAACAGGTGACGTCCTTGACGGTAGTGATCAACAGTTTGGGAAGGTATCTTTTCAACGGGAGACATATATCTAATAATCTATACAACTCAATATCCGCCAACATTTGCGCATTTTAACCAGCAGAAAAACTTTCATTTTATGAATATGCTCCCTTAGTCATTAAGCTGGCTATATGAACAACCTCAGTTATAATGTTTGCAAAACTACTGAAAGATATGATCAGAAAATCATTTAATAAATTTTTCTTGGATACTCTGTCTTTCAAAACGATTGATGTTTTGATTCCACATTGAAAAGAATGTTTGAAAACAAGATTTTATTCATATCGGTTTTTCGTTAAGAAAACAAAGTCCAACTAATCTTTTCACATCATAACGATACAGCCTTAGACCTTCAAATTTATGAAATTTAAGATTTCACATTTTCCTTTAATCACGAAAGTAAGAATATTTGAGCAAGTTAACAATTTTGTACATTAGTAATGACCACGTGATTTTTCATCCTTTACTTTGGATTGTAAAATCTCACTGTCATCATAGGTGAAATTAATTACGTTATATCAGTTAATTGGGTTACGTATTATCCAAGTTGGTTGAAAAAGTTTTTTCACTTTACATCTTTGAAAGATTAAAGTTGAAAATGTTCTTGAGTTCTTGATTGTTTTTCAATTCATTATCTGACCTGACAGCTGCGTGCACACGAACAGGGAGATTGGGGAATGTTTTGAGAAAATAGTTCTTGGGATCGCCAATCTTATAAAATAGTTCTGGTTGTGGTCTTGGCTGTGTTCGATCGTTCCAATGTTTGCCAATATATCGAATAAGTCTTAAGCATTCTGTCCAAGAAGATCCATAATCAAGAATCTTTTCATTCCTCACGTTCGTTCTAAAATAATCATACACATCATCATCCATTTGACTTTTCCAATCTGAGAATTCGCTATTCAATTGTTGAACGGCAATTGAGTTGGGATCGTTTCTCTTAATCGGCTGTTGGTTTCCAACTTTACATAATAAGTCAAATTTCTCGTCGTCTGACATAAGAAATGGGTGTTTTAATGCCTCATTGGCTGATGGCCTGTCTTCGGGTTTTAGACTTAACATCCACGACAGAAGATCTTTCAGTGTTTCATCTTTGATTTCCATCAAGCCAACAGGGTTTCCAGCCAGCATATTGCTCAATCTAAACACTTTATTTCCAAAAGGATGTCTCCCTTTTGTTGCAACATAATAAGCCACCATTCCCGCATTCTAGAATGATAGAGAACAGCATGTCACAAAAGTGAATTTGTATATAATTTTAAAATGGTATCATTTCTACACCTACATATACATCAGACTCTTTTTTGTAACGTGCTTTATCAACTGAGTCTTCGCCTTCATTATATGATTCTGGAGCAATCCAGTACTCAGGTCCCAAGTTAGCAAGGTTTCTAAATGTTTTGGCGTCATCTTCCAATATTCGACTAATGCCAAAGTCAGCTATCATAAAATCGCTGTGTGAGTCACGGAGAATATTGGAAGGCTTCAAATCCCTATGAAGAATAGGATGTGGGGCGCTATGAAGATCAGCTAATCCTTGTAAAATTTGTCTGAGAATCTTGGGGAGAACTTTTTGAAGGTCATTCAAAGTAGAAGAATTGACAAAACTCTCCAATGATTCTTCGTATAAGTCTAATATTAAATAAACATAGTCCGTTCCTGTATCCTCTTCAAAGGAGGAATACTTTACGACATATTTTGAGTTCTTTACGTTGAATTCATTTAAAATTTTCTTTTCTTGATGTGCATACATGATCCAGTTTTCTCGAAGTATGCGTTTCACTGCTTTACCGTAACCATCCTTTTTCAGTCCAAGATAAACACGGGTGTCATTACTTCCTTCACCGATGCAGAACTCCCTTGAGAAAATTACACGTACATCGCCCAGAAGTTTGATCTCGTCTTTGTGATCACACAATTTCAACAAAAGGTTTCTATGTTTTGTTGATTCACCCAAGTATTTCCACTCTTGCAACTGCAATTCTGAAAATGACATAAAAGTTTTACATTTAGGGGCTGAGTTGAAAATAATCAAATGCAGAAGAATGTTCTCACAATGCACGGCAAGGTAAATGTCACCTTGCTAAGATTGTACATAAACTACGTGCAGCGCATGTTTGTAATCAGCCTTAAAATGTTTCCAATTTCGGGAATTTAACAATCCCGAAATCTTGAGTTGAATTTGTAGCTATAGTATAATCATGGAGATTTTCTTACTTTTGAGGATTTTTGGTTTTAAAATATTTTTCTTGATAAAATTAATCGCCTAATAAACGAGTTTGCGAAAAACATTAAGGATTTTTTATATTCTTTTGTACCATGCATTCGAACCGTGAAAACCCTCTGACGGGTATAGTAGATCACATTCGAAATTGACAAGTCATCTCTTGTCTTGAAGCGTCAAAGTGTTGCAAAGTATTACAAGCAGGCACTTCTTTATTCCATCATTAAGTCTCCTTATCTACTTTTTCTCTCAATGAAAAGCTTATCTTGACATTCTAGTGTCTTTCCTAACTCTGCTGAATTGGCAGCACACAGCTCTCTTTCTTTTTCAAATTCCATCATTTTATTGTCATTACTTCGTTTGTCATCTACATTTTCGTCACCATTATAACTACATAACTATAACTATACAACTATAACTATAACTAGAACTAGAACTATAATTATATAACTAGAACTAGAACTAGAACTATATAACTATAACTAGAACTAGAACTAGAACTAGAACTAGAACTAGAACTAGAACTAGAACTAGAACTAGAACTATAACTATAATTATATAACTATAACTATAACTAGAACTAGAACTAGAACTATAACTATAACTAGAACTATAATAATATAACTATAACTATAACTAGAACTATAACTATAACTATAACTATAACTAGAACTAGAACTATAATTATATAACTATAACTATAACTAGAACTAGAACTAGAACTAGAACTAGAACTAGAACTAGAACTATAATTATATAACTATAACTATAACTATAACTAGAACTAGAACTATAACTAGAACTATATAACTATAACTATAACTAGAACTATAACTATAACTAGAACTAGAACTAGAACTATAATTATATAACTATAACTATAACTATAACTATAACTATAACTATAACTATAACTATATAACTATAACTATAACTATAACTATAACTATAACTATAACTATATCTATCCCGCACATCACAAATCATTCTGTGCTGTCTGACTACATTTTTACCTACCACTACTTTGCAATCACTGATCTCTATAAAATTATGTCCTCTACATAAGATGTAATTCACCTTTGTTTTTCTACTTCCGCTCTTTTATTACACCCCATGTTCTTATGTTTTCTCGAAAGGGACTCGATCATATAATAATTATAATAATGCAATGCATTTAGCTAAAATTTATCTGCATTAAAAAAAAACTTTAACAACATTTCATTTATTGTAATTAGACAAAGCTTCATACCATGTTTTGTGCTTGGGTGAGGCTGGTTTATTGCAATGGATGTTTGAGTATTTGTAATTTGTTGTCGATTTTCAATCATTGATTGAATTATTTGCTCAAGTTTTTCAACTTTTTTGTTTGTTTTACTTTGTTCATTTGCAACTTCATCAACTCTTTCGCTTGTTTTACTTTGTTCATTTGCAACTTCATCAACTCTTTCGCTTGTTTTACTTTGTTCATTTGCAACTTCATCAACTCTTTCGCTTGTTTTACTTTGTTCATTTGCAACTTCATCAACTCTTTCGCTTGTTTTACTTTGTTCATTTGCAACTTTATCAACTCTTTCGCTTGTTTTACTTTGTTCATTTGCAACTTCATCAACTCTTTCGCTTGTTTTACTTTGTTCATTTGCAACTTCATCAACTCTTTCGCTTGTTTTACTTTGTTCATTTGCAACTTCATCAACTCTTTCGCTTGTTTTACTTTGTTCATTTGCAACTTCATCAACTCTTTCGTTTGTTTTACTTTGTTCATTTGCAACTTCATCAACTCTTTCGCTTGTTTTACTTTGTTCATTTGCAACTTCATCAACTCTTTCGCTTGTTACTTTTTGTTTACCTTCAACTTCATCTACACGTCTTTTAATCTGCAAAATTTCTTTCATGAAATGTGAAAACTTGTTAAGCGTCTCTCGCAATAATTTTTTGCAAGCTTCATCTTCGAATTTTGATTCCTCGATTTCCTTTGAAAGACTGTTAATGTGTTCTTTCAATTCTTCGCGTGAAGCACGGTTGTTTGTCCACAATGTCAAAGCTGTAAAACAAATTTAAAATGGTAATGATGGAAAATAAATTGAAATTCAAAATTTCGGGGAATCCCAACCCCCCGTCGTGGACAATTTGACCATTTGTCGGGGAATGAATAACAAAAAATTTCCAATGCCGATTATTGCCAATTGTTTAAATTTATGGGAGCACTCAGCATCGGCAATAATATTCACTTACGCCAGCTATCCGATATTAAATAATAAAGTTACTCTGAAATACTTATTTTTGGATGTTCATTAAAGAACAGATATGCAAATGCAACATAAGATATATTTGCATATGTAATCGCCACGACGCTTGTCCGCTATTAGTTTTCTGTCGGTTGTTTTTTGCAACTCGACTTTCGAATTTTGAAAGGCAGTTTTTTTTGTAAAAAAAACTAAAAAGCTCTGCTGTTTGAGTTTCAAATCAGCAATGAGCATCAGGTTCTGCCAGTTTTACATGTATTGCGGCTACTGTCTTTGATAAATCACCATGAAGCGTCTGGATAGCTAATGATGCTTAGAATTCATTGTGATCGGTGGAGCAAACTGGGTTTGGTTACCGTAGTGAGCAAGTTCAACACTAGGTTTTCCAAGTGTAGAATTGTTCTTTGAACATCAAACAATGAAATCGAATGATTCAGCGAAGTTATATCTTACTTGTGCAATATTAATATTACCTCTTAAGTTTATAAATTATTTCCTAGTACACCACTGATTCATTATATACGTGCGGTCAAAAAGAAATGCTCACCAGCAAAAAATTTTAACAGGGTAACATTGAGATAAAGTGACAAATCATAAGATTTAAGCTAAACAATAAAAAATCAATAGTATATCTAATAACTAATGGATCCTCGTCTTACTTTGATTACAGCTTTGTATAGGTTAAAGAAGATGTTCAATATGTTTATAAAGCCTTGATGGAGATAATTACTATTGGATTATTACAATCCAACATTACTAGAAAACCCAAGGCATTCTCTTTACTTACTGTATAACTTTGTTATAGCCAATCATATGTATATCCCTGGATTGCACGCACGACTTGCAGAGCTGTTCGTACAACGGTGATTGGTGGTCATATATTCAGTTGTGTCAGACTGACTTCTTTTAAAATGAACTTTCTTTTAAAAAAATCATTTGAGCACAACCGAATACATAAAAAACAACCCATCCCCCAAGTTATTGTTCTAGTCGCGGCTCTTACAACTAGTCAAATACGTAGAGTTAATTTTTCATGTAGATGTAAATTATTATTCCCAAAGTAAACTATATGTTTCAACGATTTAGTCAAAGCGAGGTTTGATAATAATTTTTGAAAATTTTGTGTGAAAAAAAGATATGTATGGAAAGCGCATTGTCACATCAGCCTAGTATTTAGCCCCCCGTCGTGGACCTTAGCCCTTCCGCCGGGGAACTCCTTGCGCCACCCCTGTGCGCTTGACATTAAATTTGACACTGCTGACGCGGCTATTCAACAATTAGAAAAATTTCTCGCAGAATCAACACGAGGAGAAAAGCTTGTTTTACACGAAGAAGAGTTAAAACGCAAAAAATTGCTGCATGAAACAAGACTAAAAATGCAAGCTGAACTTACTACAGTATCTAAACCAAGAACGAAAGTTAAGAAATGTACACCCTTTTCTTCAACGAGTGCTAAATTGCCAAAATTAGTTATAGCAAAATTCGCTGGTTCCTTCACTGACTGGCCAAAATTCTGGGGACAATTTTCCGAAGCAATCGACAAAAGCTACTTAGCGCCCATAACAAAGTTCACTTTCTGCAAGAGCTGCTTGAAACAAATGTTAGACAACAAGTCGAGCCCCTCCCTTTCACCCCCGAGGGCTATAATCGAGCAAAGTTCATTTTAAACGATAAATATGGCAAAGAATCTTAAATAGAAAAATGTTATGTGAAAGAAATTACCAATTTACCATGTATTCAGGGGACTAACCCACACAATATAGCAAACTTCTGTGATAAATTGACGCATTTAGTGCAAGCACTCGAGACAATGGGTAAATTAGGAAATATTAGCGGAAACGTATCTATGACTCTCGACAAATTAGCGGGAATTCGAGGTGGTTCGCAATGACCCTCTATGGGAATCTTGCGATTTTATAAAATTAACTGATGCTATAAATCAGTGGGTAAGAAGAAATCCTGTAACAAACAATTCTGAACGTGAAGAAAACTACCGTAGAAGATCGTGCGTTGGAATGTCCAAGTAAGAATGCGTGCAATCAATGTGGCGTCAACGTCATCACTCTTCCATTCGCGAGCAAGCGGAATACAAGACTGATAACCATACATCCGGCGATAAGAAGTTAATGACGTATTATGACAGCGCCGAGAACATAATTCCTGTTGTTGTGGTGAAGGTAAATGAGATCACATGCCGCGCGTTGATAGACACTGGCTTCGGAAGCTCTTATGCCTCGGCTTAATAGACCTTTTCAAGGTTATCGCAGCCATATTGCAGGGGGTGCAAAAACATTGGGCCGAGCGCGCGGTCACGCATGGCATCCATATAAATTACTAATAAATGCGCAAAAATTACCCTTATACATGTAGCGACGAATCAAGCTTAGTCATAGTTGTTGTGCGTCAACGGATATACGATGTGAGTAAGCACAACAACGCGCTACAAGCTAACCACACAAGCCCGACCACAAAGCATGAAAGCACTACAACGCGCTTAGAAGGAACTAAGTCATCCCACTATTACGTGCAGGATATGACGGAGAACACTCCCTTTAGTTATTATATAAGACAAGACAAGAGATGAATAGAGCAGAATGCAATGTAAACTCGTATAATTAAATATAATGAGAAGGACTGTTTTTGTTGATGTTGACTGACGTTTCGACAACCTTAGCGATAGTCATCTTCAGAGTCAAATGAAGAGTAAACGTCAAGCTAGCCGTATTTGTTATCTGGTTCTTACGACATTTACAAACATGTAACGATACTCCCGCGTTCAAACCATTTACTTTATTACGATCATTTGGACGACATAGCGAACAACTTGCTAACGACTACATACGTTTTGCAAGCAACATCAGACACATACGCCAACAACTCTGGTTCAACCCTCGCTGCAAGGAGTTTGGTCTCGTTCCGGCAGGACTTAGAATTAAGTTCCCGTTGAACACACAAGAGGCTATTCAGATTGTCAAATCCACCAGCAGACGACTGATACGAGCACGGATTAACGACTGTTACAGACGAATCAACTATTAATATTTCACTTGAAAAGGTCTATTAATCAATCATCTTAACATTAACCATGTGACATTAAAAATCAACAGATCGATATGCTTCTCACATCACACAATGCAAAAGTAGAGTTGTATCACATGGTTACGGTGGCCCACAAGTGTCACGGCAAATGTTTCTTCTTGCAGTTAAAATTTTTCACCAACTACAAATCTTTCATCTTTTACGGCAAAACTTTTCTGTCTTACGGCAGAACATTTATGTCTTACAGCAAAACATTTATCTCTCATGGCAAAAATTTTATATCTCACGGCAAAACTTTGTTTCTTTCGCGGCAATTCCACGCGCGTACCTTATTGTTAACACGCGTATGCGTGTGTTCTTTAATATACTAATGTCAATTTAGCACCAAAATCAGGCCACAATTGGAAGTTTTGCAAGGGCGCGCAGCGCCCGCAGTAAAGTTGAGATTATGAAAACACAGAAGTGAGATATAACAATGGTTTATTCCTCATAACTAGCAATACACAGCTGATGAAGACTAACTTCTAAAATACAACGTCATAGTCTAATCACCTAGCAACATTACATCAGTTCGTAAACAGCGACCAAACTACTATAAGCTAATGACAATAAACATGATAAACTAAAAAAGACTACAATAGAAAGGCCAAAATAATGGCCCGTAAAAAGGAGCATCAACAAATGTTCTTCCAGCTAGGCCACCATATTTCCACGACAGAGACTCCAGTGAACAGAACCAGATATAAATGTTTTGCCGTAAGACAGAAAAGTTTTGCCGTAAGATATAAATGTTTTGCCGTAAGACAGAAACGTTTTGCCGTGAGATATAAATGTTTTGCCTTAAGATATAAATGTTCTGCCGTAAGATATAAATGTTTTGCCTTAAGATATAAAAGTTTTGCCGTAAGACAGAAACGTTTTGCCGTGAGATATAAAAGTTTTGCCTTAAGATATAAATGTTTTGCCGTAAGACAGAAACGTTTTGCCGTGAGATATAAAAGTTTTGCCGTAAGATATAAAAGTTTTGCAGTAAGACAGAAACGTTTTGCCGTGAGATATAAATGTTTTGCCTTAAGATATAAATGTTCTGCCGTAAGATATAAATGTTTTGCCTTAAGATATAAAAGTTTGCCGTAAGACAGAAACGTTTGCCGTGAGATATAAAAGTTTTGCCTTAAGATATAAATGTTTTGCCGTAAGACAGAAACGTTTTGCCGTGAGATATAAAAGTTTTGCCGTAAGACAGAAACGTTTTGCCGTGAGATATAAATGTTTTGCCGTAAGACAGAAACGTTTTGCCGTGAGATATAAAAGTTTTGCCGTAAGACAGAAACGTTTTGCCGTGAGATATAAATGTTTTGCCGTAAGACAGAAACGTTTTGCCGTGAGATATAAAGTTTGCCGTAAGACAGAAACGTTTTGCCGTGAGATATAAATGTTTTGCCTTAAGATATAAATGTTCTGCCGTAAGATATAAATGTTTTGCCTTAAGATATAAAAGTTTGCCGTAAGACAGAAACGTTTGCCGTGAGATATAAAGTTTTGCCTTAAGATATAAATGTTTTGCCGTAAGACAGAAACGTTTTGCCGTGAGATATAAATGTTTTGCCGTAAGATATAAATGTTTTGCCGTAAGATATAAATGTTTTGCCGTAAGATATAAATGTTTGCCGTAAGATATAAATGTTTTGCCGTAAGATATAAATGTTTTGCCGTAAGATATAAATGTTTTGCAGTAAGACAGAAACGTTTTGCCGTGAGATATAAATGTTTTGCCTTAAGATATAAATGTTTTGCCGTAAGATATAAATGTTTTGCCGTAAGATATAAATGTTTTGCCGTAAGATATAAATGTTTTGCCGTAAGATATAAATGTTTTGCCGTAAGATATAAATGTTTTGCCGTAAGATATAAATGTTTTGCCGTAAGATATAAATGTTTTGCCGTAAGATATAAATGTTTTGCAGTAAGACAGAAACGTTTTGCCGTGAGATATAAATGTTTTGCCTTAAGATATAAATGTTCTGCCGTAAGATATAAATGTTTTGCCTTAAGATATAAATGTTTTGCCGTAAGACAGAAACGTTTTGCCGTGCGATATAATAGTTTTACTGCAAGAAGAAACTTTTGCCTTGAAACTTGTGGACCACCGTACATAGTAGAGTGATTTAGCAATCACTACGTTTCGTCTAAGACGTCGCCAAATTTTCGCGAGGGATCTGGGTCTAGGACGCCACCATGTTGTAGGACTTCGTCAAATGATAGTATGAAACAAGTTTCATACATTTCGGCATTTTTCTTGCTGGATCGTGTTTTCCGATCATTTTAAACTAATTTTTTGATATCAAAAATATACTGCAGTATATTCATTTCAATAAAATTATAAATAAAAGCAAAATCATCGACATACGGCTAAGAATTCCAAGAACAACTTCGCTGAAGCCAGGAAGGATGGTACGAAACAAGTTTACCCTGGAAATCAAACCACCCCCCTCTACCAACAAACGAAATGGGAAGTCGTCGACGTTTGGAAATCTTGGTGAAAAGGCCTAAGGCAAGAAATCGGTACCAAGACTATGACGACATCATTCTACAACAGCTTGAGAACGGGGTGTTTGAAAAGGCACCACAAAAGGTGATTAGAAAGGAGTTCTACATACCACACAAAGCAGTGGAGAAGGACACAGTTGAGACAACTAAACTGCATATTGTCTACGATGCCTCGGCCAGTGAATCACGAATTTCACCATCTTTCAATGACTGCCTGAATCCGGGCACCTTCCTGCAGAGCCTTCTCTGGTCAATTCTCGTTCGATCATGATTCTCTCCAGTTCTGCTCACTGGTGACCTGGAAAAAGCGTCTCTCCAAGTTAAAATAAGACAGACCGATCAAAATGCACTTAGATTTCACTGGAAGTCACCTGGAAGCAACGATGTGGAGACGTATCGGTTCACGAGGACGCTGTTTGGTCTGACATGTTCTCCTTTTTTACTCAATGGTGATTTGATAGAACATCTAAAGTCCTGGGAAGGAACAAACCCAAACCTTGTAGAAGAAATACGTAAAAATCTCTATGTTGACGATGTAATGATGGGTGGTGTAACTGTCTCAGAAGTTGATAAGAAGAGGAGTCAAGCTATTGAGATCTTCGAAGACGCCACTTTCAAGTTGCACAAATTGCATTCGAATGAGGCCGTGCTAGAAACTGCACCAAAGGCTGAAGGCTTTGAAGAGATGACGTCTATGAAACCAGACCAGCAACACGAGAAGTCACTCGCTAAACTATTGGGACTTCAATGGGATAAAGATAAAACACCCTTAGCGTGCAAATGGCAATCGAAGAAATCGTCTGCTCAGGAAGACGTGCATTATCACAACTTGCCAAAATATACGACCCTCTTGGTTAGGTATCACCAATGACATTGATGGGAAAGATAATTTTTCGAGAAATGTGCGAAGCTCGTTGCTCATGGGATGGTGAATTGCCCGATATCATAAGAAAACTCTGTGATAATTGGTATTCGAGACTTTCAGCTAGTTGCGAACTTCCCTAACCTTTAGCTCCGCATAAACAAACCGTATCTGCCGTCACCCTTCATGCCTTTGGCGATGCAAGTAAAGTCGGGGTGTCAGCAGCAGTATATGCAGTTGTTGAGCAGGAGAATGAAATAACCCAAGGATTCGTATGTGCAATATCCAGGTTGGCAAAACGGGATCTGTCAATACCCCTCTTGGAATTGGCTGCTGGACACGTGGCCGTTAACTTGCCATCGAATGTAAAGTGTGCCATTGGTGAGGAAATTGTAATCTCTGTCCATTGCTGGTTGGATTCTACAGCAGCAGATTACTGGATCAACGGGTGTGGGGATTATCGTCAATCTGTTGCAAATAATGCTGCAAAAGTACAGAGTCATGCTCGTGTAAAATGGCATTATGTACCCACTAAACAGAATCTGGCAGACATGGGAAGTCGTGTTGAAAATATCAAGGGAAACGAACACTGGAAAAACGGTCCGGAGTGGCTGAATGATCCTTTAAAGTGGCCACTACAACAAGCAATTGAATGTACAATTGAAGTCGAGCAGGAGATGAAGACTACGAAAAGAATACACGTATTTGCTACATCAGTTTCAACCGAGAACGACGACTGTTTCATAAAATTTTTAAAGAAGTTTAACCTCCGAAATATCTTGAGAATGTGTTTGTGGAAACTAAGGTTCAAAGAAAACTGCGGCAGTTCCATGGACTGTCAAAGAAGGGCCCTTTAACAAGTGAAGTCAAGAAGAGTGAAGTTTGGTGTATCAAGAAAACACAAAACGATGCAAAACAAAATCCTGAATTCGAAGGAAATTGCTTGGAGCTCAACGTTCAACTTCATGGAGATGGAGTCCTTGAATTTCGTGGTCGGATTGAGGGAGGCTATCCTGTGTTTCTACCACAAAACGCTACGTTCTCTGAAAAGTAAGTCGAGAGAGCACATCTCAACACACTTCTTGGCGGTGTGATTATAACTATGGCTAAGGTGCGAGAATGATTTTGGGTGCTCAAGCTGTGCAGACTAGTAAAGCAAGTACTACACAATTGCTACGGGTGTTTAAAGTTCAGAGTAAAGTCGTATGTAAAACCACCACCAGGAAACCTTCCAATGACGAAAACTTAAGGCACAACTCCGTTTCAAGTCGTTGGGGTGGACTTTGCAGGTCCAATCCGTTATCAGACAAAGGCAAAGGCAGGGAAGAAAGCGTACCTAGTACTTTACGGATGCAGCTTAACATGAGCAATATATCTCAAAATGTTAAGATTGATGGAACTCACCGAATTAATTCGGAGCCTGAGAAGATTTATTGCAAGACGGGGTCGACCTAAAATCATCTATTCAAATAACGCCAAAACGTTCAAGGCTGCAGACAGTTAGTTGAGAAAGGTGAGAAGGGATGAGAAATTTAATGCATTTCTAGCGGACAAGGCGATTGAGTAGAGGTTCAATCTCAGTCGTGCTCCAACCCAAAGGCTGCAACGTTTATACAACGACCGACAAGAGATGCAGCGGTAGCAGCAAAGATATGACTTAAGCAAATGCTGAGGGGGGGAGGGACACTTAACGATTAGCTGAGTAGACATTTCATTAAATTTGTTATAATCTTATATTTACTATTTGCGGGAAAATATCAGTCATTTCTCCATGAAAAATCAGTTCCCTTTTGGACATAAACCTCAATTCTGAGTTAGATGTGACCGAGACGGAGTCTATTGTACAATACAGTAACGAACGTACTTACTATTTAAAAAGTTTCGCTACTTAATATATCTTTGTAAACTTTATTGTTGCGTGATTTTATTTTGATTACTCTGATCGATTGTGACTTGCCGAGGACTACGAATTTTGAGGCACAATTCTCCACACTGTAGATTATTCAAGAAAATCAACACAATGATATAATAATTATAAATATACCTTGATCTTTCCAATAATTTAAATCATTCATGACTCCTTTTTCTTCAGTTCCTAAACTCAATTGCTTCACAAGTTGCTTCATATTTTCTATTTTCTGATGAAAATCTGTTTCGTTCCATTCATTAAATTTGCAGTGAGCCCAAGAATTTCTATTTTCTCTAACAATTTTTGCCGCATTCTGGACCAGGTTTTCGGAAATTGGGAACCTTTCTAGTAAATTAAGCACTGCTGATGCGTCACAACAGTCGTAACTATTGAACTTTGCCATGTAGTTTTGAAGGAAAAGTTTTCCAAAGTCGACATGTGATGTAATTTTATAATCAAAGTTTTCCTTATCCTTTTTTTCATTATTGTTGATATTTTTGTAATGTGGATCGTAAGGTGAAGGAAAGTTGTGAATCTTTTGAACATGAATATTATGAGATTCTTTTAAATCATGATACTCCTTTGAAATAGTTTTTTTAAGATAAGGTTGAACAGCTGGGATAAAAATATGATTGAGTGCAATTCCATAAACACACCATCGTTTTTTATCGTCATTTAACGTTTTTCTATAACGATCATCATAAATTATTGAGGGGTATTGTTGTACTATATCATTAAATTTAATCCATTTAAATTATATTTTAAGCAGGTATTAGTGGAAATGCGATAATATGTTTGAGTTCAAATTGTTCATTTATAGATGAAACGATAAACCAAAAAAATTAAGATTTGCATTACAGCAGTTTGGAAGAGAAAATGATGTGATATAAAATTGAAATTAAGACAACTTACATTTTTTCTTCTTCATTGAACTTTTTCATGATTGTTTTGCAAAGCCAAAGGAAAGCAAACATAACAGCGATAAAACCAAAGAATATCTCCATCATAAAGTATATGTATACCTGTGAACATTTAAGAATAACATATACTTCATATAACACATTATTCAAGGATAACATATATTCTATGATAACATAGCAGATTACTTTAATTATAGATATGTAAATAGTTCATAGTTACAGCTCTTCTTTAACTTTGTTCATTCTTGTTGATGTTTTTATTATGTAAATCGTGAGGATATTTTGGTGAAGGAAAGTTGTAAAAACCTTTTGAACGTGAGTATTATGAAATTTCTTTAATTCATCAAACTTTCATCATAATTTTCATCGTCATTTAACAGCGTTGCCCTATAACGATCATTATAAAGTATTGAGGGAAAATTGGAATACATGCACATAAATTGCCCTATAGTGATACATATGATTGACAGACACTTAACTAGAAAATAATATTAGCTAGCACGTGATAAGGACAATGTATGTGTGTACTTCATGCAGAGGCGTATTAAAAGGAACTAGACAAGGAGCTATATTTCTTGAGTTATTGCAAAAATTTTAAAAATGTTTTAATTAGAAAGCGTAAAACTCAGAAATGTATTGTTGGACAAGATCATTTAATTTGATCCAAGTTCATCATAATATAATATTACATAAAACATTTAAAATAAACAACAAAATCAGATCATCGACATACCGTCCTTCACCATCTGATCACAAAAAACACCGCATCTTGAAGAACATTAAAAACAACAGGGACATCATTCTACTCAAACCAGACAAAGGAAATTGAGTAGCTATTATGGACATAAAGGTATATAATAATGCATACTTAAATATAATTAACAAAATATCTAAATTAAACCATTAGATAATGTCCCCACTCTACTCAGAGAAGGCAGACTACAACGCTTCCTCTGAAATCTCAAAAAACAAGGCTCTATAGACAACCATATATACTCTTCAGTTTTCCCTAGAGGCTCACAACCAGGTCGCTTTTATGGTCTCCCCAATCTTCATAAACATAGAGAAAACTATAATTCCCCTCCCATTCGACCTATAGTCTCTTCCACCAACTCATATAACTCTAATCTCTCCAAGTACTTATGCATTCTACTTAACCCTGTCATACCCAACAATTACACTACATCAGACTCTTTTACTTTTGTTAACGAACTACACACCCAAAACCGCAACAACAACTACTTCGTTTCTTTTGACGTCCAAAGTCTTTTCACTAACATCCCCTTATCCGAAACCATGGACATTGCATTAGATCTTATTTATTCACACCATCCCAACCTTATCAGTAAAAAACAAGATTTAAAACAACTTTTTTTCATTGCCACCTCACAAACTCATTTCCCATCTAACGGACAATTTTTTGACCGAATCGACGGAGTCGCGATAGGCTCACCATTAGCACCACTTCTTGCCAATCTTTTCATGGGATATCATGAAAAGAATTGGATCAAGAACTATGACGGACCTAAAGTATTGTTTTACATACGCTACATAGATGACATATTTTGTATTTTTAACAACGAGGATGACGCTCTCTCTTTTTTTAATCATTTAAATTTACAACACAAGAACATTGACTTTACCATAGAAAAAGAACACGACAACAAGTTACCTTTTTTAGACATACTCATTACTAAAAACACAGCCACGAACACATACACGACATCTACTTTTCATAGAAAAACTTACACTGGCCTATTACTTAACTTCTTCAGCTTCACCTCACAAAAGTATAAGACAGGACTGATTAAAACTCTTATAGACCGCATACGGAAAATTAACAACACGTCGACTGGCTATTATCATGATTTAAACGCTCTCATTGACAATCTCAAACAAAACTCCTTTCCCTCGCCTTTCATAGAAAATATCATTAAATCATATGACCATGAAAAAAAACACAAACAAAATAAACACCAGAAACGAACCCACACCTACCCAACTCGAGACTTACCTCTTCAAACTACCCTACATTGGTAACATTTCACAAATCACGGAAGGGAAATTACACAACTTAATAAAACGCTACTGCACAGACTTAGACATCAAACTAGTTTTTTCATCCTTCACAATCAAAAATCACTTTAGCTTCAAAGATTCTATTCCCGCTCTTTTAAAATCCAACGAATGTTGATTGAATTTTTTGAATTTTCTGTTTATGGATTTTCTTGTGCTGGATGTAAGTCCAGTTACATTGGGGACACCACCCGCCACCTTTCCACACAGATTAAAGAACACACAACAACAGAAAAAAACTCACACATATTCAGACACTTACTCTCGTCACCACACTGCAAAAACAATTACACACAATCCTGTTTCCGTATCTTAGACAACGCTCACACTCCTTTCGCTTTTAAACTCAAAGAAGCCCTTTATATCAAGAAGCGTTAACCTAACCTCAACAAACAAATACAACATCTTGACACTATCTTTCACCTGTAAATAGCTATTACTACTTTATCAGATATTATTCATTTTCTTTGTGATTTTTCTTTTCCCTTTGATAAAACCTAACACAAACATTTTATAACACCTCATTCAACTGTAAATAATTATTCATAACTATTCACTTCGCACTGAAGATGGCATAAAGTATGCCGAAACATGTTTGTTTTAAAAAAATTTGTCGTTTATTTTAAATGTCTTATAACCATTGTGCTCTTACGAAATTATAATATTGTATAAGCAAATGATGGTGGAAATATGTTAATACAGTTGATTTTTATTAATTCACCCTTAGATAAAACGACAAGTTATGAGAAATTCAAAAATTTGCGACGCATTAATTGAAATTAAGACAACTTACATTTTTTCATTTCATCAAACTTCATTAATGATTATTTCTCCATAAACTTTAAGTGCCATAACGAATAACCATCTCCGTCGTGAAGCTTAAATTTACCTGTGAATATTCAAGGAAGCCATTTCATTAACAACATAGACTTAGACATTACATCAATAATTTAGTGTAGAAATACAACATGAAGTTAGCACAGTTTATAACCATTGTAAGACAAAAAGAACTTTATTGTATTTGATGAACATAAGTCAAAGAGAATTTGTATTTTATATTACATCTTGGACATCACAGACGACAATTAACCGTTGTGTGATTATATTCTTTAATTGATTTTAAAGAGAGAGAAAAGAAACTAGAAATTTAAAAAATTCATCAAAATATATCTTAACTTGTAACTTACCTTTATTAAACTTTATATTTCACAGATCTCGTTACAAAAATCTTGTTAGTTAAAGGAACGCTCAATAATGAACAGTGTTTTCCTACGTGGCAGTATACATAAATTATTATGATAATGTCAAAATCAGTGGGAGATAACTCAACAATGCCCTACTACGAAACATACAAAATATTTTACATTCATGATCGTTCTGTGGTAGAGAAATTCTTGAATAAGTTTTCAATTCGCTCTCGACTGCTATTAGCTAGAACCATTTATTTTTTTATGTTTTTTTTTGATCTCGTATCAACCTGTTTCAACCTTCTCGTGATGATAGACGTGGTTACCTAAATTATTCTCATTCTCGTATTTTATAAGAAAAAAATATTAAAACTTCTCGCCTTAAAAATTACAAATGAATTTGCAAATATGATGCAAGTGTCTGTATCCTGGATTTATTGAAGCAGCCAATCGTGCAAAAAACTGCAATAGTTTTCCTACCTTATTTATCTTTACTATGACATACTCAAGTATATGAGCGTTGACAGAAAACTTTTTTCTTGTGTTTTGCTTTTGACTTAGATGCATTTTATATTTGCAATACTACCACAAAAAGATGATAGAAATTCTAGCTGATACATTGAAATTCGAACTTCTAAATGATGATGCCATCAAAATTACACTGAAACGCGAGAGTCAAGTAAAGACGTTGCTGAGAAAACTAAAGGCAGAAAAATGTATAAATGAAAAAACATACAACGAACTTTATCCCACTGGTACACGTATCGGCATACTATATGGACTCCCTAAAATTCATAAATCCTCCATCTCTCTAAGACCAATCTTATCTAGTATTGACCACTACTCCTACAAGCTAGCCAAATTCTTTATTCCTTTCCTTACACCAATCTCCGCCAGCTCCAATAACACCAATAACTTTGTGATGGCGAGCTTTAATGTTAAATCATTGTTCACCAACATCCCAGTTGATGAAACACTCGCTATAATAACTAATCACCTCTTCTCCAATAACACGTCCTTTCAAGGCCTTGACCGTTCACAATTCACTCTCTACCTCTCCGTCAAAAACTGTCATTTCTTCTTTAATGGTCAAGTTTATCAACAGATTGATGGTGTGGCTATGGGCAGCCCCATAGTCCCTCTATTTGCTAACATATTTATGTCCTTCAACGAGAATTCATGGCTTCACAACTGTCCCTCCACTTTCAAACCCCTCTTTTACCAACGTTACGTTGATGATTGCTTTCTACTCTTCCGATCACTGGATCACATACCTCTTTTCCTTACCTATCTCAACCACCAACATCCTAACATCTCCTTTACATCTGAACTGGAAAAAGACAAAACACTCCCCTTTCTTGACGTAAAAATAACTCGCTCAAATGGCAAGTTATCCACCTCCGTGTCTCGTAAACCTACTTTCACTGGTCTCTTCTCCAATTTCCATAGTTTCATTCCCATTCAATACAAACGCTCCTTAATCTCCTCTTTACTTCACCGAATTTTCAACCTCTGTTCCAGCTATGAACACTTTCATACTGAACTAGAAGCTGTTACAAAATTGTTCACCTTCAAAAACTTCCCTTCATACATATTTGACAATCATGTTCACCACTTCCTCAACAATACATTTGAACCCAAAGATCCTATTCACACTGCTTCTAAGAAAATCATGTACTTCTGTCTCCCTTTCACTGGCCTACACTGTCTTCAGATTCGCACTCAAATCACTCAACTCTGCAATGCTGCCTTTCCTCATATCAACGTTCGCTTTGTTTTTCGTTCTTCCAGGCGTCTCTCCTCTTTCTTTCCATTTAAAGATAGGGTTCCCAAGCTCCTGAGATCTGGTGTTGTATACTCATTTAAGTGTCGATGCTGCTCTGCATTGTATATGGGTCAAGCCACGCGTCATTTACACACCAGAATATCGGAACACTTGGGAATCTCTCCCTTAACAGGGAAACCTTCCTTATGTCCACCACCATCTGCAGTTCTTTCACATAAATAAATACATCTCACTCTGCCGATTTTAATGACTTCTCAATTCTCTCTTCCTCCTCCGACAGTTATGACCTTATGATTCATGAAAGCCTTCTGATATCCAAACTTAAACCCTCTCTTAACACCCAAGGCAACCTTTCCCAACGATGACCTTTTGGGAAAAAATTAGAACAAATATCAATCAACTTATGAATATGATGTTCACCTCCAACATTAGGTTTTCCCCGCTGTCTATACAAGGAAACGTGATGGATAAATCATCGTTTTCATTGTTTAGTACAGTTTGAGACAGAGGTTCCTAAAAGTGAAATATATAAGAAGTAATTACAAATATCGGTACATAAAATCTTTACGTGACACTTACGTAATGAATATAATAGTTTTAATTTCCTTAGCGAAGTTTAAAAATAAGTGCGTTATTATTTTCAATGCCAAAAATTGATGCTAGATAGTTTCTAAATTTACATTACACAACAAAGCATAAAAAACAAGACAAAATTTAGATTATAGGCAAAGTGTAATTAGTTATCATTTGCGACAAGTGAAAAGCTTCATTTGCGTGCTGTTTGAAATAGTAACAGAAATGCATTTGTTCCATGGACGGCGGAGCAACATATGAAGTGGGAGGGGGGGGGGCTAAATCTTTAATTGTACTACAGTGTCTTAAAAAAACTTCTAAACAACAACTTCAGCTAAGTCTTAATATTTTTTTGTTTTCTATCGCAAAAATTGGGGGAGGGGGATACAGCCCCCACAGCCCCCCTGGTTTCGGCGTTCATGTGTTCGTGCTTTCTCATTCTTTCTTTTTCAAATTGAGGTGGTGGCATCATAATGCATCACGCTTTGAAAATTATTCAGAATTAATCGAAAATCCTAAACAACTACCTCATGGTTAACATCATTTTCCACTTCAACTGCAGAAGAAAAATTGCCAGCAGATAATTTCAGGAGAGGAACTAGAGGTATTTGATGATGTATTTCTTTCTAATACATCATCCATCGAGAAACAATATATTCGCTTGGGTACAAATAGGTTTTAACATGCAACCCTGTCATAACAAACAAAATGAAATGCTGTGGGTCAGTTTGGAGTGAACCAACCCAGTCATATACAGCACTAATATAACAATAATGAGAAAACGCTCTCGTCAAAGTACCAAGGTCAGGGTGCTTTATGCATACAATGATATGATCTTCCTCCAACAAAGATTCTGTTGGCCAATATGATGCTTCTTCCAAAAGATTATCATCAAACTCAGCACAGGTTTGAGTAACAAAACGGAAAGAAAAAATGGATTCCTGTATTCAAAACTACATGTTATGAGTAAGGTTAAAATACAAACCTTCTGTTTTTTAATGTTCTCAATTATATTTTCCTTTTACCTTTTTCAGGAAATCAACCACCTATACAATAATTTTTTTGAAAATGATAGTTGTTCACATGAAAATAAGTACATAATGATGTGTTGTTGTCTCCCATGTATAAGAATATTGCAACCACACTTTTTGAACCCACACTTTGGAAAATGTGAAATAAACAAACGGAATCCTGTGATCAAACATAAGTTAATTCTCATTGATAAGTTATTTTTACATGCTTCCCCAAGCATTGTTAAGCATATCCATTGCTTTAGGAGAATGAAATCAAGAGAAGGAACCCAATTTCTCTGGGTTAGGGAAGATGGGACATAGGAACCACAATATTCAACTTGGAGATGGGCGGGCCCCTCTAAATTCTTGGAATTCTAAAGACTAAATTGCATAAAGGGCCATTTTACTATAAAAGACGTCCAAAATGACTAATAGTAATTGAACGACTATTTTTAAGAGATACTTTTGTGTAATCACGACAATATTTTCACGGTTCTACTAGTTCTCCGTTATCGTGGACCTCGCATAGAAAGAAGTGGTTTAAGCATTGTACAATAGGCTTTGAACATAGTTTTCCCAAGTATATTTATATTTGTTGTTGCAAGTCAATTGAAAATTATACTAAAGAAGGAAGATGGCTACATCACAAAATCTAACGAAGGTCGTCTCATTTTTATTGTAGATTTGAAGGAAATCCTTGAGGACTAAGGTCGTCTAGACATATTTACCGTCTCTTGCATAAAAACAACCAATCTCCGTTAAAATACAAAAAAGTCCCCGATATACGGGCAAAATGTTGGGTAACTCATAAGTTGCAAACATGACCAAGTCAAAACAAATTTGTTGCTTTTACATGTGGCGGATGGTACCAAAACTCTAACACGATAATTTATTTGTTTGTAAAACTTTATTACGATAATTTATTACGATACTTTATTACGATAATTTATTATAAAATAAGTAAAATAGCCAAGTATGGTTTTGGCTTCCCTAATATTAAAAATGTGTTCTCTTGTCTCTGAATGCAACTTACTAACCTGGTTAATACTGCTGTCATCTGATTGTGTCGCCATTTCCATCTTAGCACGTAAACAAACTTAAATTGTTGTTGCCATTTCTTTCTGCACTTTTACAACTCAGAAGTCGGACTTTTACAACTCGGAAGTCAGACTTTTAAAACTTGGAAGTCGGCAGTCGGACTTTTAAAACTCGGAAGTCGGAAGTCGGACTGTAAACAACTCGTAATTTAGATAATACTTGTACGCTTCCGTATGATTTACAATAACGGAAACATGTGAGAGCATATCTGTTTAACACTACATTTACTGACATTTGATTATCGCTTTGCAATATTAAGTTGGTATCCGTCAAGGGTACATTTATCTGATTTTTTCAATCAAAAACGTCGTCTGATTCATTCTTCTGAGATGGAAGCAACGTACGTTGATGATGTAGTGAAATTAGGTGAGGAATTTTATAATTTAAGACAAATAATGTATTGACAATTACCTCGATCAACTACAAATAAAACATGTTAAAAGTTTTGTGGCATAGGTCCATTGGCCGCCATTTTTTTGGCGTCAGGTCCCAGTCCACTTAGCCGCTCCAGTTATTATAGAACTCAATGGTGCTGACCCTTTTGTATTAGAGTTTTTGTTCCAGTCTTTTAGTAGAGTTCACTGGACTCAGTTCACCTACTTCACTTACTCATAATGACAACGATACATTTGGTCTGCGGTTGTTCACAAATTCACTTTATTAAAACATTTATTTCTTGGTTGTTTTATTAAAATGAATCTAATATTTATGGTGTCTTGGAGTTGATTTGCCGATGTACATTTGGATATGTGTTATTATTACAGAGGCGAGTTTGTTTTATGCATTTTAGTATTTTTTACCATGGCCATCGAAGAAATTATTGAGGCTGGGGCACAGTATATTTTGGGATCTTTCTCCGTGACCTATGGACACACATTAATATTTTTCTTTGCTTTCTTTTTTTCATTTGGTGGCCCAAGGCAAATTTCTTCCTTTGCCCGCTCCCTCCTGTTAAAATAAGTTTTTGCTTATGTTGTATTTATGTATTGTTCACCAAGTTTTGAAGTTTTAGCAAAGAAAATTTAAAGTAAGTTTTCATCGGCTTTTTCTTCAGAGGGAAGGAAAAAATACTAAAGGTTGAGAGAAAAACTTGAGGCTTAGTTCAAACGGCGAACTTCTCATGTGCCGTGCCAAATTACTATTAAGTTCGGCAGAGCACGGCAAAATAGGAATTTGATTCAAACGTCGATTTTAATTCAGTCGAACTTAACTCCTTCATATGACCTTTCGTTCCTTTACGTCAGCGTTTATACAACGCGCATGCTCAAATAAATAGCGGGATTTTCAATATGGCGAAAACAAAAATAGCACAAAGACAGATCATTTTTATGCGACATATGCTAGAGCGTGCCAAAAATCGAAGGAGAATGCTTGATTCTTTTATTCAGTTATTGATTAATAGAAGAATCATGGCAATCAGAGCTGCGATCACCCTGATTCTGTGTTTATTCTCGCAAAACTCGCGTTCAACATCAATAACGCCTCGATCATGTCGGAGACTTGCTAGAAATAAAGGATGGTGGAATCTTATTTGGGTTAACTATTCTGCAGTGGGATTCAAGAAAACATTTAGAATATCTCGAGAAACGTTTCTGTTTATTCTTGCTCGCCTAAGACACGTACTCGAAAAGAAAAACATAGTTGAAGAGCCCCTTCCTCCAGAGGTTCGACTAGCTGTTTGCTTGTATCGCCTTGGAAGAGGAACATATTATTATACAATTGCAGAATTGACTGGGCTTGGTGTTTCCACCGTATGTTCTATTACTGACGAAGTTTGCAAAGCCATCGTTGAACAACTCTGGGACGAATTGGTCAAACAGTTAATGCCACAGTCTGAGCAAGATTTCAAAGATTCAATGATTGATATGGAACACTTTTGGCAGTTCCCTTGTTGTTGGGCAGCCCTTGATGGTTGCCACATTTCTATAAAGTGCCCACCAGGTGGTCAGGAAGCAAACAAAGAGTATCACAACTTTAAAAACTTTTACTCTATTGTTCTTATGGCATTGGTTGACTCCCACTATAGATTTATTTGGGGAAGCTGTGGCTACCCAGGTAACTCACACGACTCTATTATTTTTCAATCCACACAGCTGTGGGCTAGTATTCAGGAAGGAAACTATTTGCCAGCAATTGGGAAAGTAATTGGTCAGCAAACAGTCCAGCCACTTATAGTTGCTGACTCTGCTTTTCCATTTACCAAATGGCTTATGAAGCCTTATACAGATGCTGTCCTTTCTGAAAGGAAAAGGTATTTTAATTACAGACTAAGCCGTGCACAAATGGTGACAGAGGGTGCTTTTGGACAGCTTAAAGGTAGGTGGCATGTGTTGTACAGAAAATGTGAAAGTAATAGAAAAAGTGTCAGAATGACTGTCCTGGCTTGCCTGGTCCTCCATAAAATTTGCTTAATGAAGAAAGATACTATCTCAAAAAAATTGGATCTTTCACAAGACCCTGGCAAAAGTGAAACGCGAGATAGAGATTCAGTAAGAGAATTGCTACAAATGAGAGCATGTCCTAAAGTCAGGGATACTTCCAAAGAAGCAGCTGATATAAGAAATGCTTTGGTGGAAAAACTTTGGTTGGAGGAGACTGGAGAAGTGGTTTAATTTTTTTGACTTTTGAAAAAATAAGTTCATTTTCATATATTGAACAACACATTCATAAAAAATTAATTTTTTTGTTCTTTCTAATTCTCAATCTTAACTAATGTGATTATATAATGCTTTATTGTGCACAAATAACATTTGATTTGAACATTTTGATAATATAACAATATAAAGTTTGTGTAGCAATTAGTAAAAAATATCTTTATTACTTGAAATGTCTTTATCAACAACACAACTGAATTATAAGAACTAATTAAACATTGCAAGTGCATCAGGGCATAATAAATGCCATAATATGTTATTTTTATTCACATACATAATTTCTATAAAGACTGGTATTGTTTGAGATCATAGTCTGAATGACTATTGCTAAAGTTTGGAGTGCCTGCTGAATGACTTTGGGTTGGTAATTGATACTGCTGAAGATTAGCTGATGAGTGGATTTTTGTTTCTTGTTGAAAATTTGGTATTGGTTGAAAGTTTGGCATTGGTTGAATATTGGTTGAATATTGATGTGGTGACCAGGAATGATGTGCACCATTTGATGAAGTTAGACAATTAAGAAAAAGCTTGGTCATTTCAATTTCATGCTTTCTTGCTACTTCAGCTTCATCTTGCATGAAACGTAGCAGCTCCTTGGATGGATCATTGTCCACCATAGTCTTTAAAAGAGCTATAGCTTCACCAACATTGTCTTTTGTTGACAATTTTCTTCTCTTCATGGGAACAAATGATTTTTTCACACTATCTTCACCTTCTTCCAACTGTCTGATTTCTTCCTCTTCTTCAAGGTCAATCAGAGAAGGATTACCACTGGAGCTGGAGCTACTGATATCACTTGAAACTGAAGGTTCTATTGCCATCTCAGGTCTGCAAGAGTCTCTGGATTGAACAAGCTGAAACAACTGCTTGAACCATATACCATAGCCTTTGCCTTCTTGGAAACGTTTTATGCCACTAGCAGTTTTGATGGTCATTGCAGCATGTTTGCATTCTCCGATGCATTTCTTAAATTTATTACGCATTTGAGACACAGTAAAGTCTATGTTTTCTTTCCTATCATGGCACCTTGCTTTAAGCTCTGTCAAAATATTTTCGTATATATTACCATTCTTTTGGTTTTTTGTATTCGTGAAAATTAATTTTTTCTTGTAGTAATCACTGTTAGCAACAATATCGATAAAATCATTTAGAACGTTCTCGGTCTACAAGGCTTTCCTGCCAGCTTTCTTTTTTGAACCTAGGTCATTACCATTAACTTCAGATTCATCATCAGTTGAGCCACTACAAGTAAAATATTGGTCAAAATATTAGTAAGAATACAAGATATTGAATAAAAGAAAATCATAATATTTCTTGGGGCTTTAACAATAATTATTTAGGTCTAACCTTTTTCTTCCAATCAACGGAGAGGGTGTTGAAGTTTCTCGGCTTTCAGCGTAAAAAGTATTTGAATTATACGGATTGGAATGATTTTCCATCTCCGGTGATTCGACTGGATGCTTATCGGTGGTAGAATTCCCTTCACAATTTGGGCAACATCCAACAGATACTCCAGCCTCCCAACCAATAGTTTCCTCATCGTCTTGAAACAAACTACAACGGTTACAAACTGGACTATTGCAAGTTATACACTTGTATTTCGTTTCTTTTTGGCAAAAATTACAGTCAACAATCGATTGGCTTTGTCTCGATGAAGAAGCCATGTTGTTTACAAATGAGCGCCATAAAATTCGCGCCAGTTTACTCGGGTTTAGATCATGGATTGAGTAGAATATGTACGCACGAATAGGGTGATAACGCTACAAGTTTCACGTCGCTTTTTTAAGTTCGGCACATGAGAAGGTCGCCGTTTGAATTGACAACGTGCCGTGTCGAACTTAATACATTAGGCACGGCAAGCCCAGCCGAGCTATATCCTTGAGTCGATCAAAATTAAAACCGCCGAACTTAATTGATTCATACGTCGTGCTTGTCATGTACTTAATGCGTTGTATTAAGTTCGGCACATGAGAAGTTCGCCGTTTGAACTAAGCCTGAGAAACTTGTAAAATATTTAATACTGTTTAAGCATTTAATAAAATTTATACATATCTATTAGCTGACATAATGCAACAGAACCTCTATAAATAACAGAAAATTTCTAAATTATTGACCACAACATCTCAATTAATCCAGTTATCACATCATCTTTAAAGTAAAGTGAAGTTACAACTTTTTCACTTTCACTGTTTACACATAAAAATTCAAAATGGTTCTTCTAATATACACTATACAAAGTAGAACGCAAATTAATTTTTCGAGGAGCAAGTGTACTGTATAACTAAATTCATTTAAGTCCATCATTTGTTGCTGCAACTACATGATGATATTTATGAAGAAAATTTGCAACTTTTGCGCTGAATAAAGAAAAGGTTTTTACAAAAACGTTTTACTTCAATGAAAGACAGCTGCTTCTCATATATTTCTGTGGAAGTTTTTACTTTTTCATCAACAATGACTCCATGTATGAATGTTTTATGCAGTGCGGTGTTTGAAATTAAACAAAGATATGATCTTCGCACTTTGCTGGACAATTTAAGCAATCGTCTCAGGAACCTGAAAAAATCAGGTGACTCAACGGGATAGGATTCCTGAGACGATTGCTTAAATTGTCCAGCAAAGTGCGAAGATCATATCTTCATTTAATGACTCCATGTAATGTTTTTTTAGAGTTTCGACATTTATTTGTTTAGATATGTACAAAAATTGCACTGCTAATACAATATTGTACACTATCAACTTTTTATTTTACCAACAGAAATGAAGAATCATTTACATATAGAAAAACATCTCATCTCTGACAAGATCCCAATTGCTGTTTAGTAAGTAACAAAATTCTCTTGTTTATTACACATAAACATACAGTAAAAAATACTATAGAATTATATACGTACATGTGGGATCTTTTTCAATGCATCGTCAAGGTTGTATGTCTCTTTTCATATAAACATTGTTCTTAGTGTTGTTTATTTATAGTACAAATATCTATAATTATATTAAAAAGTAAATAATAACATTTGTAGCAATGTTCACTGATTATTAGACGCATGAATTTGTTTTCAACATGACCGGAGGAAAATCGTTTATGAACTTGTGAAAATAGTATTTTACATGACTAACATTAGATTCTTAACTGTCCATGGAGTTTCCTAAACATACTATAAAGGTCACATAAACTTTTTTAAATGAGTTAAAATTTTCCTAAATATCACCATTAATTTAAGTGTTTACATAACTTACAAGATTTTCAACTGTACTTTGTAAGCTTTCCTCAATCGAGTGTCCCCCAAACTTTAAAAAATGTTTCTATAACTCAATGAGGAACTTTTATAATACAAGTTGGATTATTCATTTGTTGTGGACAAATAAAAAAGAAAATAACCATCGTGCTTAACTCATGTAGCGTACCGAGACAATAGCAGAAACGATTCCAGTTCGAGACTGACTTTATTAACGTTAGTAGTAGCAATATTTATAATGTAAGACATTAGGCGTTAACTATGACTATAAAGGAAGCTTTTTATATCAAATATGTATGTGTACAACGTAATAGGAGGGTGTATCTATAGCCGAAGTGAGGATTATTTAAAGCGTATGTTATTGTTGTAAGCACAAAGAGAACTATTTTACACGGCTGTTTTGAACAAGATGTTTGCCAAATTCAGTTCTTTCGAGAATAGCATGAATAAGAATAGTTGAGTGCTAACTGTACAATTTGTATCATACAATGCCAAGCTTTTATGCTTAATGTTTTATGGACATAATTTACAAACTTTAGTTTATTGTATGCATTGAAGTATCATAGATGAAAACGTCGATGATAATTTGAGAGTAACGAAATATTTTTGTTTTCACCATATATTCATAAAGATGATTTTACTTTAGAAAACCTTAATGATGTGGTTTAGTTTTTGGTTTTTGACTAATGTCTGAGTATTAAAGATATCGTTATAAAAATATTGTTTGCGCAACTGAAAGGTTTATCCCTTCACGAAAGATTGAGCTTTAAGACAGTAACTTTTATTTGACAAAATATCTCAGTAAAAGTTGATAACTCAAGTTAACGAAGGAAATAAATAAAAGGCATATTTGTAAAGAATTAACATTTAAAAGGGAGAAAAGTGTCTTTCTTATTTCACACAAATGCACCAAGAAAACGACACTATTTTCACGTGGTGTCATGTTAAATGTCTAGTCAAGTTTCCACGACTTTTGTCTTACTTATACACTTAGGGGCTGTTCACATGAGCCCGGTAGCCAGGATTCGGCGAAGCGTTAAGTCATTTTGGCAAATGGAAAAGATTAAATATTTCACAGAAAAAGACTTATTTGAGCAATTTCTCTATGCTCTGACATTGCAAATTTACAAAAGCTTTAAAATGAAAACAAATAATTTAGCCTGATTTGTACTAATATGACATATGACGCTTGTGAGAAAAGGTTGTAAGTTTTGCGCTTAAAGTTTTTACTCCTTTCATTGACTTAAAATCATTTCACGCCTCGCTGAATCCCGGCTCATGTGAACAGCCCTTATAGTACAAATACTAGTGCCGGAAAAGGGGGGCGACGGTTTCTCATACTAAGGTTTTTATATAATGAAAACGTCACTCATATATGACAGTTCATAAAATAGTTAAGTGAGATAAACGTTTATTGCAATGTACTCAAATTATTTTGACAGTAGTCAACAGATATACTTGTTTCCGATTTGTGGGAAAAATCATTTCCAAACTTATAAAAGTAATATTCAATTTTAATAGTTTGAATAAAACTTTTTCATTGAATAATAAACATGGTCTCAATTCTCAACAATCATCTAAAAACAATTTTCTAAGCATTACCATAAATTCTTAAAAAGTGAATGAAAGCTAGTTTTTATTTTGCTATAGTTTTCTGAAATTAAAAAGCGCAAAAAATATAAGAAAAAAGTATCAACGACAGGTGTCGTCATTGACGGTAGTGTCAAGTAGTAGATCAACAGTTTGGGAAGGTATCTTTTCAACGGAAGAAACATATCTAGTAATCTATACAACTCAATATCCGCCAACATTTGCGCATTTTAATTAGCAGAAAAACTTTAATTTTATGAGTATGCTCCCTCATTATTAAGCACGCTATATGAACAACCTCAGTTATAATGTTTGCAAAACTACTGAAATATATATGCTTAAAAAATCATTTAATAAATTTTTCTTGGATACTCTGCCTTTCAAAACGATCGATGTTTTGATGTTTTTTTACTTTACATCTTTGAAAGATTAAAGTTGAAAACGTTCTTAAGTTCTTGATTGTTTTTCAATTCATCATCTGACCTGACAGCTGCGTGCACACGAACAGGGAGATTGGGGAATGTTTTGAGAAAATAGTTCTTGGGATCGCCAATCTTATAAAATGGTTCTGGTTGTGGTCTTGGCCGTGGTGGATCGTACCAATGTTGGCCAACATATCGAATAAGTCTTAAGCATTCTGTCCAAGAAGATCCATAATCAAGAATCTTTCCCTTCCTCACGCTCGTTGTAAAATAATCATACACATCACTATCCATTTGACTTTTCCAATCTGAGAATTCGCTATTCAATTGTTGAACAGCAATTGAGTTGGGATTGTTTCTCTTTATCGGCTGTTGGCTTCCAACTTTACATAATAAGTCAAATTTCTCGTCATCTGACATAAGAAATGGGTGTTTCAATGCCTCATTGGCTGATGGCCTGTCTTCTGGTTGTCGTTTTAACATCCACGACAGAAGATCTTTCAGTGCTTCATCTTTGATTTCGTCCAAGCCAACAAGGTTTCCATTTAGCATATTGGGCACTCTATAACGTATAATTCCAAAAGGATGTCTCCCTTTTGTTGCAACATAATAAGCCACCATTCCCGCATTCTAAAATGATAGAGAACAATATGTCACAAAAGTGAATTTATACATAATTTCGAAATGGTATCATTTCTACACTTACATATACATCAGACTCTTTTTTGTAACGTGCTTCATCAACTGAGTCTTCGCCTTCATTATATGATTCTGGAGCAATCCAATGCAAAGTTCCTACGTTAGAAATGCTTCTATATGTTTGGGCGCCAACTGCCAATATTCGACTAATGCCAAAGTCAGCTAACATAAAATTGCCGTTTGAGTCACGGAGAATATTGGAAGGCTTTAAATCCCTATGAAGTATAGGACGTGGGCCGCTATGAAGATCAGCTAATCCTTGTAAAATTTGTCTGAGAATCTTAGGGAGAACTTTTTGAAGATCATTCAAAGTAGAAGACTTGACAAAACTCTCCAATGATTCTTCGCATAAGTCTAATATTAAATAAACATAGTCCGCTCCTGTACTCTCTTCAAAGGAGGAATAATTTACGACATATTTTGACTTCTTTACGTTGAATTCATTTAAAATTTTCTTTTCTTGATGTGCATACCTGATCCAGTTTTCTCGAAGTATACGTTTCACTGCTTTACCGTAACCATCCTTTGTCAGTCCAAGATAAACACGGGAGCCATTACTTCCTTCGCCGATGCAGAAATCACTTGAGAAAATTACACGTACATCGCCCAGAAGTTTGATCTCGTCTTTGTGATCACACAATTTCAACAAAAGGTTTCTATGTTTTGTTGATTCACCCAAGTATTTCCACTTTTGCAACTGCAATTCTGAGAATGACATAAAAGTTTTACATTTAGGGGCTGAGTTGAAAATAATAAAGTACAGAAGAATGACTTATGTTCTCACAATGCACGGCAAGGTAAATGTCACCTTGCTAAGATTGTACATAAACTACGTACAGCGCATGTTTGTAATCAGCATTAAAAAGTTTCCAATTTCGGGATCTTAACTATCCCGACATCTCGAGTTGAATTTGTAGCTATAATATAAACATAGGGATTTTCTCACTTTTGAGGATTTTTGGTTTTAAAATATTTTTCTTGATAAAATTAATCGCCTAATGAACGAGTTTGCGAAAAACATTAAGGTTCTTTTATATTCGTTTGTACCATGCATTCGAACCGTGACAACCCATTGACGGGTATAGTAGATCACATTCAAAATTGACAAGACATCTCTTGTCTTGAAGCGTCAAAGTGTTGCAAAGTATTACAAGCAGGCACTTCTTTATTCCATCATTAAGTCTCCTTATCTACTTTTTCTCTCAATGAAAAGCTTATCTTGACATTCTAGTGTCTGTCTCAACTCTGCTGAATTGGCAGCACACAGCTCTGTTTCTTTTTCAAATTCATCTACATCTTCGTCGCCAATATAACTATAAAACTATAACTATAACTATATAACTATAACTATAACTATATAACTATAACTATATAACTATATAACTATAACTATAATTATATAACTATAACTATAACTATAACTATAACTATAACTATAACTATAACTATAACTATAACTATAACTATATAACTATAACTATAACTATATAACTATAACTATAACTATATAACTATAACTATAACTATATAACTATAACTATAACTATATATATAACTATAACTATATAACTATAACTATAACTATAACTATAACTATATAACTATAACTATATAACTATAACTATAACTATAACTATATAACTATAACTATAACTATAACTATAACTATAACTATAACTATAACTATAACTATAACTATAACTATAACTATAACTATAACTATAACTATAACTATAACTATATAACTATAACTATATAACTATAACTATAACTATAACTATAACTATAACTATAACTATAACTATAACTATAACTATAACTATAACTATAACTATAACTATAACTATATAACTATAACTATATAACTATAACTATAACTATAACTATAACTATAACTATAACTATAACTATAACTATAACTATAACTATAACTATAACTATAACTATAACTATAACTATAACTATAACTATAACTATAACTATAACTATAACTATAACTATAACTATAACTATAACTATATAACTATAACTATATAACTATAACTATAACTATATAACTACATAACTATAACTATATAAATATAACTATAATTATATAACTATAACTATAACTATAACTATAACTATAACTATAACTATAACTATAACTATAACTATAACTATAACTATAACTATAACTATAACTATAACTATAACTATGACTATACTTATATAACTATAACTATATAACTATAACTATATAACTATAACTATAACTATAACTATAACTATAACTATAACTATAACTATAACTATAACTATAACTATAACTATAACTATAACTATAACTATAACTATATAACTATATAACTATAACTATATAACTATAACTATAACTATATAACTACATAACTATAACTATATAACTATATAACTATATAACTATAACTATAATTATATAACTATAACTATAACTATAACTATAACTATAACTATAACTATAACTATAACTATAACTATAACTATAACTATAACTATATAACTATAACTATATAACTACATAACTATAACTATATAACTATAACTGTAATTATATAACTATAACTATAACTATAACTATAACTATAACTATAACTATAACTATAACTATAACTATAACTATAACTATATAACTATAACTATAACTATAACTATATAACTATAACTATAACTATATAACTACATAACTATAACTATATAACTATAACTATATAACTATATAACTATAACTATAATTATATAACTATAACTATAACTATAACTATAACTATAACTATAACTATAACTATAACTATAACTATAACTATAACTATAACTATAACTATAACTATAACTATAACTATATCTATATAACTATAACTATAACTATAACTATAACTATAACTATAACTATAACTATAAAACTATAACTATAACTATAACTATATAACTATAACTATAACTATAACTATATAACTATAACTATATCTATAACTATAACTATAACTATAACTATAACTATATCTATATAACTATAACTATAACTATAACTATAACTATAATTATAACTATATAACTATAACTATATCTATCCCGCACACCACAAATGATTTTGTGCTGTCTGACTACATTTTTACCTACCACTACTTTGCAATCATTGATCTCTATAAGATTATGTCCTCTACATAAGATGTAATTCACCTTTGTTTTTCTACTTCCGCTCTTTTATTACACCCCATTTTCTTATGTTTTCTCGAAAGGGACTCGATCATATAATAATTATAATAATGTATGCATTTAGGTAAAATTTATCTGCACTAAAAAAAACTTTAACAACATTTCATTTATTGTAATTAGACAAAGCTTCATACCATGCTTTGTGCTTGGGTGAGGCTGGTTTACTGCAGTCGACCATTGAAGTTGCTCCCATCGTTTTTGCCTTCTCTTTAATTTGTATTGTATGTCATTTTGTTCACCCAGAGGCTGGTTTATTGCAATGGGTCTTTGAGGTTTTGTTGATTGTTGTAGAATTTGTAAAATTTGTTGAACTGTGTCGTCTGTTTCTTTCTGTTTATCTTTAAGTTCATCAACTTTTTCGTTTGTTTGTTTTTGTTTGTCTTCAAGTTCATTAACTTTTTCGTTTGTTTCTTTTTGTTTATCTTCAAGTTCATCAACTTTTTCGTTTGTTTCTTTTTGTTATCTTCAACTCCATCTACACTTCTTTTAATCTGCAAAATTTCTTTCATGAATTGCGAAAACTTGTTAAGCGTCTCTCGCAATAACTTTTTGCAATCTTCATTTTCGAATTTCATTTCCTCAATTTCATTTGAAAGACTGTTAATGTGTTCTTTTAAATCTTCGCATGAAGCACGGTTGTTTGTCCACAATGTCAAAGCTGTAAAACAAATTTAAAATGTAAATGATGGAGAATAAATTGAAATTCAAAATTTATGTCTTTGTGAAAGACCGATATTAGCAGGATATATTTTATTAAAGCTTCAAAAGCTATTTTTATGTTACATACACTCTGTAGATTATTCAAGAAAATCAACACAATGATATAATAATTATAAATATACCTTGATCTTTCCAATAATTTAAATCATTCATGACTCCTTTTTCTTCAGTTCCTAAACTCAATTGCTTCACAAGTTGCTTCATATTTTCTATTTTCTGATGAAAATCTGTTTCGTTCCATTCATTAAATTTGCAGTGAGCCCAAGAATTTCTATTTTCTCTAACAATTTTTGCCGCATTCTGGACCAGGTTTTCGGAAATTGGGAACCTTTCTAGTAAATTAAGCACTGCTGATGCGTCACAACAGTCGTAACTGTTGAACTTTGCCATGTAGTTTGGAAGGAAAAGTTTTCCAAAGTCGACATGTGACTTAACTTCATAGTTAAATTTCTTCTTATCCTTTGTTTCATTATTGTTGATATTTTTATAATGTAGATCGTGGGAATATTTTGGTGAAGGAAAGTTGTGAATCTTTTGAACATGAATATTATGAGATTTCTTTAATCCATCATACTCATTTAAAATATTATTTTCCAGGTAAGGTCGAACAGCTGGGATAAAAACATGACTGAGTACAATTCCATAAACACACCATCGTTTTTCATCATCATTTAACGTTGTTCTATAACGATCATCATAAATTTTTGAGGGGTATTGTTGTACTATATCATTAAATTTAATCCATTTAAATCATATTTTAAGCAGGTATTAGTGCAAATGCGATAATATGTTTGAGTTCAAATTGTTCATTTATAGATAAAACGATAAACCAAAAACATTAAGATTTGCATTACAGCAGTTTGGAAGAGAAAATGATGTGATATAAAATTGAAATTAAGACAACTTACATTTTTTCTTCTTCATTGAACTTTTTCATGATTGTTTTGCAAAGCCAAAGGAAAGCAAACATAACAGTGATAAAACCAAAGAACATCTCCATCATAAAGTATATGTATACCTGTGAATATTGAAGAATAACATATATTTCATATAACATATTATTCAAGGATAACATATATTCTATGATAACATAGCAGATTACTTTAATTATAGATATGTAAATAGTTCATAGTTACAGCTCTTCTTTAACTTTGTTCATTCTTGTTGATATTTTTATTATGTAGATCGTGAGAATATTTTGGTGAAGGAAAGTTGTGAACCTTTTGAACGTGAATATTATGAAATTTCTTTAATTCATCATACTCATTTAAAATATTATTTTCCAGATAAGTTTGAACAGCTGGGATCAAAACATGATTAAGTACAATTCCATAAACACACCATCGTTTTTTAAGGTCATTCAACAACGTTGCCTTATAACGATTATCATGATTTTTTGAGGGAAATTGAACTTTAAAAAGGTTTGTAAATAAAATGTGTAAAAATATCTTTGCAGTACAGAAATTAATATTCATTCAAGTTTATTCAAGAAATAGAAAACATTTTCCTAGTTTCTATAGAGTTTTAGAAACACACGGGAAAGTTTGTGAGAAACGAGAAATTGCCTGGCAAGCACGAGCACGGAGTGCGAGAGTCTCCCAAACTGTCACAAGTGTTCTTACAACTCAATAGGAAATTAAGCACTGCTGGAGTGCAAACTGCGAGAGTTTCTAATTAATTTGCGAGGCCGCACCACCCATTGAACTGCAATTTTTATTACCTGCAATAGAAAACCCTAATAATTTTTTTAAGCCAATTCTTACACCCAGACACGCGTGTGTAGTCAATCAATTTTCAGAATCTGGAACCACTACACACGCGTGTCTGGATGTAAATCCACTGAGTTCTATAATAACTGAAGCGGCTATCTCTCTAACGCGGCTTTAATTATCGACTGACGTCAAAAAAATGGAGGTTTGTTCCCTTACTGCTGAGATTTACCGAAATTGACTGCTTTTCAGAAAATCTCACAATTTTTCACTCCCCCCTTGAGAAAGAGTGAGAAAAAAGTATATGTGTTTTTCGCATATTTGGCAAGCAATTTTATGATGAAAATCACTGTAAAAACATAAAATTCATAAAAGCGAGTCTACTGTGGTTGCCAGTTGTCGGCTTCTACGACGGATGCCTTTTTTAACGAACGAACTATTTGTTGGCCACATATGAATGCAGATGTGCGCGTCGTAACTGTCGTTTAATGATTTGCTCGATCAAAGTTTGCAGTCTGCACGAAACAAAATATATCATATTTTATCTCCACGGATCACGAGAGAAATGTTAGGTCATTTATTCTCATTAGTTTTTTGCTTTCTTTCATGTGATGGCCTTTTTCGCAACAATTGTAGGATTTGTTTTTGTACATGCATCTCGCGTTTCGTAAATAATGAAAAAAAATATTGTATACAAATCACGAGAATCTTTGAGATTTTTGTGGTTTTCTGAACAAGAACTGCATCAAATACTTGTAAAGTTGTAGCATATTTGATTTCGTTGTATTTATTTGTGAAATGGCAAAAATGCAAATAATTATTAAAACACTTAAATTACAATAGTATTTATAATACTTGAATACATGAATACACGATTGTCTATTTAATACTTCTCTTCTTTTTCTCTTTTTTATGTGTTTCCTATTAGCCATGTGAGTTCAAAATTTGATTGACTAATACAGCTTTCACCTCAATAATAAATTTCATACCTACATTGAATACCAGTTGCTACCTAAGCGGCCCAATAAATTTACTTAGTTGGCTAAATTGTATAAACAAACGATAACTCGTCCCATTCCATCGTAACAGACTGTCGCCGGAAACTTTGTGTAAATTGTTACATATATATTATATATTTACCAAAGGTAGGCAACTATTATCGTTGTTGCGAACAACATACCTTTATTTAATTATTATTTCTCCATAAACTTTAAGTGCCATAACGAAAAACAATTTCCATCGTGAAGTTTAAATTTACCTGTGAATGTTAATTTAATGAACAACATAAACATAGACATTACATCAATAATTTAGTGTAGAAATACAACATGAAGTTAGCACAATTTACAACTATTGAGAGACAAAAAGAACTTTATTGTATTTGATGAACATAAGTCAAGGAGAATTTGTATTTTATATTTCATCTTGGACATCACAGACGACAATTAACCGTTGTGTGATTTTATTCTTTAATTGATTTTAAAGAAAGACAAAAGAAACTAGAAATTTAAGAAATTCACCAAAATATATCTTAACTTGTAACGTACCTTTATTAAACTTTATATTTCACAAATCTCGTTAAAAAATCTTGTTAGTTAAAGGATTGTGTTTAAACTCAATAATGAACAGTGTTTCCTACGGTTCCTACGTGGCAGTGTTTCCTACGTATGCATGAATTATTATGATAATGTGAAAAATCAGTGGGAGATAACTCAGCAATGCCTTACTACAAAACAAACAAAATATTTTAGATTCATGATCTGTGTTAGAGACATTATTGAAAAATGAATTATAATCATTTTATTGCATAATAATAAACTTTTGCAAAAAACTGATGTGCATCACGTCAATATCTGAGTGCGGGAATATCTCTAATGTAAGATGATTGATGATAAAATTTTCCCAAATCTTATTTCACCACTGAAGAATGAGTTTCATTTATGTACCTGAAAAATGATCCTTGTGTTGCGAAAACATGCACTTCATGAACAAATATTAACTAAATGCCATTCAATTTACTGTATTATATTGAAGTTTTTAATGGATCATGGAAAAGTTTAAAAGTTTATTTCAAGTTCAACCACAAATTTTTTGCTATTTTATGTTATAAAGATTTATTAACGCGTTATCCTTCCTGTTTGTGCACGTTTTCTGACCGCATGTTTTACATTCAAGCATAGGGGGCGCAGAAATCGGTTTAGGTTTTTTATGGAATCGATTTATGTAGTATGATCTATATGCAATTTTTGTCACGCATAGCGCGGTGACAATTCCCTCTCGACTGCTATTACATATAACCATTTATTTTTTTGTCTTCTTTTGATCTCGTATGAGTATGTTTCAACCATCTCGTGATAATAGACGTGTTCATGTAATCCTTCCCGTTCTGATAATTTTTAAGAAATAAATAAAACTTCTCGCCTTAAAATTTACAGATAAATTTGCAAATCTGATGCAGTATTTGTATCCCGGATTTATCATCGGGTAAAATATTTGACAGGAATTAATGTCGAGATTTTGTCATTTATGATTGCTCTTATCTCGTTATCCATGTTTAACCTAAGGCGATTATTCTCTGTTTATTGTACGTAGTTTCTATTTTCCTAATTAGAGGTCAGCTTATCATTCAACATCCACAAAAATATTTGTTGATATCGATCCGGTCCAGAATACATCATTAATGAAAAATTATCATTACAAACCATCACAGAGATTGTTGATAATGATGAGACTTCGAAAGTCAAACAAAATATTGATTTATAAAGATGTTTTGTCTGGGGATGCTGAATATATCATATACCGTATATACAAAGACTTAAAAGTTGTAATTATCATGCAAATATATGCGTTATATATGCATAAATTAATATGCAATAGCTTCGTGTCCCTTCCCTTCTCAGACTGCCAAGAACAACATCTTAATGCATCTATAAAACTATAAAAGAACAGCATTCAAGTAGTGGTTACTTAATGTAAATGTTTGAATTGTAGTCTGGTTGAACTTTATATCATTCCTTTTTTCTACTTCAGTTTTTAACTAATGATTGTTGTTGTTTTGAAAATCACTACGTGTCACTTTGAAAGGTCTTTGACCAATGTCTTTGACCTTCTGGATTCATTGACCAATCACAATGAACCACGATCTGCTCTAAACAACGCATGCGTACGATAGGTTTATTTTCAATTAATTAACCTAAGGAGTGAGAAAGAGGGTTGTTTCTTTTGAGTATTTTCGTTGTGTACAAACATCTGTAGTTCTTGTTCTTAGTTCGTAAAATAAAATGAAGGTGTATGCAGTATTAATAGTAGCCTTAATTGGTTTTGTGTGTGGTGAGGAAGAGATTACCGAGGAAGAAAATGTATTAGTTTTGACGAAAGCTAACTTTGATGCTGCAATAGCCAAACATAGTAACATTTTGGTGGAATTCTGTAAGTGTTAGTTTTGGTATCACATGTATGACATGTTTTGATTAACATTTTTTTCCTTTCTTTCAGATGCACCGTGGTGTGGTCACTGCAAAGCTTTGGCACCAGAATACGCCAGTGCAGCTGGTCAGTTAAAGGAGAAAGAATCGGACATAAAATTGGCGAAAGTTGATGCGACCGTTCACACAGATTTGGCTACGAAATATCAAGTTCAAGGATATCCAACAATCAAGTTCTTTAAAGGTGGAAAACCCTCAGAATATGGAGGTAATGTTGTAGTTTTTTTAAATACCACGTGGATTTTCCTGTATGAGCAAATAACCCATGAAATTGAGCAACCGTTGTTATTGTCTTCTGCTTATAATGTATTAATTTACTTCGTTTCATTGTTTTCTTGTGAAATTTTTGGGCAAATTACGTTTTAAAACAACTTATAAGCTGGAGTGAATCATCACTTCGTTAAAGAACACGTAAGCACAACTGTCCTTGGTTCAGATGTTTTAATTATTCAAATTTATTTGCTGTAAGATAGAATGATTGAAAATCGGTATTTTTACAATTGTTTATCTCCTTATTGAAAACACAATATCTCTAATTGATATTATTCTAGTTTTCTTAAGTCTAAATAATGATATGTAAAACAATAGTTTTAGAAGAAATTGGTTTCCTGTGGCTAGATATTTCTATTGATCTATATGTAACTTCCTGTTAGAATTGCTGAGACAAATTATCATTTAATTATTTTAAATATTTGTGACTCCAAGTTATATAAAGTCTTTGAAAAGGATTACAAAACAGTTTAATGAACAAACTTCATCAATCAACAATGCACATTACATGTTTCCTTCATTTGAAAAAGATGAAACATAAAGAAGATTTTTTGAAACATTGTTCATTGCAAATGACAGAAATTTATGTTATATTTTTTGCTTATTTTAGGCGGACGACAAGCAAATGATATTGTTAGCTGGTTGTTAAAGAAGACAGGCCCCCCTGCTAAAACTTTAGCATCAAGTGAAGATGTAAAAGAATTTCTTGAAGGCAAAGAGGTTGCTGCTTTGGGATTCTTTGCTGACGTTGAATCAGATGCTGCCAAGTCTTACATAGCAGCTGCTGATGAGATAGATGATGTAGAATTTGGTCTTGTATCAAGTCCTGAGATTGCTGCCGAATATAAGATTGAGGGAGATGGCATTTTGCTATCGAAAAAGGTCTGTTTTAGTTTAGTTTTATTCCATGCACTCGTAATATTGCTACTTTTTGTTTTCTACGGGGGTGGGGCAAAGTTACCATCTGAATAATTTGGTTGCAACAATGTTTATGTAAAATTTTAAAGCATTTGTAGCAATGCTATATTTATTGTTACCTTTGGTTTGATCACGAAGGATTTTTTCTCAAGGCTGAAATTCTGAGAAGAAGATATTACCTTTGTTCATAAAGACATTAAATGATTCAGCAAATTCTTCCCTGTTTGTTATTTTGCGGTTGTTTTATATACCTGAAACTTTTATCATTTCAAATCATTTCAGTTTGACGATGGTGATGTTGTCTATAGTGGTGAATATGAATCTGAAGCGATCTCAGCATTTGTTCAAGCCAACAAAATGCCGTTAGTGATGGAATTTACGGATGAAAGTGCACCCAAAATCTTTGGTGGCGACATTAAAGTTCACATGTTGCTGTTCATTAAAAAGAGTGCTGACAATTTCAAAGAAACCCTTGATTATTTCAATGAAGTTGCCAAAGAATTTAAAGGACAAATCTTATTTGTGTATATCGATGTTGATGTTGAAGATAACAGTCGAGTGTCAGAATTCTTTGGTCTTACGCAAGATGATGTTCCAACTGTTCGTATAATCAACATGACTGAACAGGATATGGCTAAATTTAAACCAGATTTTGAACAACTCTCTGCAGATAATCTAAGGAAGTTTGCTAAAGATTTCATTGATGGAAATTTAAAGGTAAGGAATAGAAAATGAACTTGGTGAAACTTGGTTTGCTTGAAGCAATATTAATTTTTGAAGTATTTTTCTTAGCCACATAGAATGTCTGAAGACATTCCTGAAGACTGGGACAAAAACCCTGTGAAAGTTCTTGTTGGGAAGAACTTCCAAAAAGTTGCCTTGGATAAGGAGAAAAATGTGTTCGTTGAATTCTGTAAGTGTGACTGTACTACTTAAAGTTATTTAAACATACTGTAAGTTAAATGTTTTGTATTCTAATGTATAAAGATGCACCTTGGTGTGGTCATTGTAAACAACTCGCGCCCATATGGGATAAACTTGGAGAAAAGTTTAAAGATGATGAAAGTATTGTGATTGCAAAAATGGACGCAACAAAGAATGAGATCGAGGAAGTTCAAGTTGATAGTTTTCCAACTTTAAAATATTTCCCTAAAGATTCAGATGAGGTAATATATCTGTAAAAATAGTTCTGTTTTTGACTTTTGGTTGTTCATGAGAAAATTCAAAATGTTCTAAACCAATTCATGCATTCAGATTGTTGACTACACTGGAGGTCGGACTTTAGAAGATCTTACTAAATTTATTGAATCGGGAGGCAAAGAAATGAGTGGCAAAGATGCTGAAGGAGATGAAGAGGGTGAACCTGGACCTGAAGATGAGGAGGGTGAAGGTGCACCTGAGGATGAAGAGGGTGAAGGTGGACCTGAAGATGAAGAGGGTGAAGGTGGACCTGAAGATGAGGAGGGTGAAGGTGGACCAGAAGATGAGGGTGGACCTGAAGATGAAGGTGGACCTGAAGATGAGGGTGGAGAAGAAGAAACACCTGCAAAAACAGAATTATAAACTGGAATACTAAAAACATGGACGACTTGTTTTTTGTCGCATCAATATTATACGTATTTTCTTTATAATTTATTATTTAGCCGTGCTATTATCATTTAGGTGTGTTATTCTTGTGAAATTAAAGTTTTTCCAAAAAAAATTTTTTTCATAAATGCTAATCATTAAATATATAAATCCTTTTCCGTCCCCCCTCCCCTCGGGATAATTTTGAACCTTCACTGACCTAGCTGCGTGAGCCCGCGAGAATTTAAAATTTAGAAGTAAAATCATGGGTGAAAAGTGCTTTTCTTTCATCTGCTTTTAGTAGAAACTTACCATTTGCCATGACTTGTTTACGAAATAAGGTAAGAGGAATATAATACAGAGTTAACTGTCACGCTTGTTATGGAAAAAGCAAAAGATTCTAACAACATTGGCTCGCGTGCAATTCACAAATTCAATTTTGGTACAAGTCAACAGTCGACATAAAAAGAACCGTTCTGCACCTCAAACCTTTCTGTATTGTCTTTAATACCTATCCTAACTTGTTTACTTTTATGTGTTTTTAGTATTACGAAACTTGTTATATTTACTGCTAAATTTCATTAGACATTAAGACAGTTCACTTAAAGTAGTTTTTAACCAGAAGTTAATTGATTTTTCATTGCCACGTATTTTAGGTAATATGGAGTTATAGAAACTTGCACAGAGTTTGTCGTGAAGTCTTCAAAGATGATGAGATGATGTTGGAGGCAGCAAAAAAGAAAATACGCGAAGATTATAAACAAAATATTAATGAAACCGACCAAGAGAGAATTGAAGAGCTCTTAAGGACAGCAGTTGAAGCTGAAAAAGTTATGAAAAGTTTAATTGTTCAAGGTGTTCGTAACAATGATGGAACATATAAACTAATATTCAGGAAAGAAACTCATCTTGAAGATAATGCACCTTTACCAAATAAATAAAGTATTTAGATGTTTATATTTAAATCAGTGGCTGCCAGTTGGTACATTTAAATAATCCTGTAGTCCCGTGCACCTTAGATTGAAAGAGTGCAGTAGCTTTCAAAATTTGTTTTCTTGGTCAGTGTCAGTGATGTAGCAAACTTGTTAATTGTGGGGGGAGGGGGTGGGCACAAATTCATATATTCCTGTCTTAATCTGTAGAAAATAGCTGATTTGAAAGAAACTACATATGGCAGAACATGAATATATAAATATGTGAACCTTCCTTCCACGTTTTCGAGTTTGCTATGCCACTCTTCATAATGGTTCATCCATATTGTTACTCCAGTTTGAAACAAGTTACATTCAGTTCAGCGGGGGACAGTTACACAATAAATTACTACTGCCACCTGATTGGTAAAATTTTACTCTTTTAAAATTTTTAATCCATGGCTTTGTTATGGAAGTATTATGAATTTAAGATTAGCAACCTTACTTTATTTTTCTACACTGAATCCATTTTTTGTTGGAGTTATTGTTCTTAAGAATTGTTTTACTTGTGAGACAAATTACTCAAATAAAAAATATTAAATCTTATTAAAACTAAAACCAATTGCTCCAGAGTAGAATTTTTCAAGAATTACTGAGGAAGATTATACTAAGACTACGTAAGAGGCATATAAAAGAAAATTTTACTATTTAAATTGTATTTTTATTCAACAAAACATTTTGTACTTTGTGAAACAGTTAATGCAAATCTCTTTACATTCACATGATATTAAAGTTATTGTAATCACTGATTTATACAACTTTCTAAGTCATTTTGCATGATGAGTTGCTGAAAAATCTTAAACAACCTTATTATGGCATTTTTTTATACCTATAACTCACAATGAAGGGGGCTCTGCTTGAGTGAAGTAACATATCAGCAAATATACCTGCTATTTCAAATTCTCGTTATGAATAATGAGGTAGAAAGTTTCGTAAAGCGGACATTACAAAAACTACAATATCTTGACTTTTGAGAATGAAAAGTGATGTATATAAACTGTTTTAAAAAATTCACTGTCATTTTGAAAGTTTTGTTTGAAGAAAACATTATTTGAATAACACAATTTTTGTTTCATAATAGAACAACGTTTCTATTAGACCAAATCATCGCAATCTCACCCCTCCCTCCCCACACAAATTGACTTGCTCTTGCAAAGTGTTGAAAGATATATATATTTATATATATATTTATAGCTTGATATTTGATCTTAGTTTTGTTTGATACGCGTTGCACTTTCGTCTTGAACATTTATTTTGTAATTAGAGTACCATAATCTCCTGTTGTCATTTTGAGTATTTCTCCCAGTAAACAATGATTTCCAGTTATTCAGTAAGTGAACTTTATTTGATAAATACTTAAACACCGATATGACATTCATTTTATAATAGAGAATCACTCACGTCACTAAATTTTAAATTAAATCAACTTTAATAAACTGTAGAAGATGGTGAAAATTTCCTTGGTATTTATTTTCGTAATTTATTATTGCAGGCGCTGCTGATGTGGTTGTGTTTTTTTCTTGTGGCAGGAGTGAGAATTTATCTTTTTGTTTTGGCTGTAAAGGTTCAACATGAAAAACGTGAGTATCTGACGTTTTAAAATTATTTACGGGAAATTTAAAAGTTCGCAAGTGTAAGATTCATCGTCACGCTCGTATTTTTGCATGTCAAAGACAGACTTGAGTAATCCTTTGTTACATCATAAAAGATAATAAAAATATCGCTAAAATATTTTTTGATAAACGTTTTGATATGCCTGCTAACACATTATTAAGGTAAGTTTTTATTCAACAAAGGAAAATTCTGTATTTTAGGTATTGAAACAAGATAATTCTATACATTTCTTATACTAGTAATCTATATTATTATTTTTGTGAGTCTTGGGTTGTCAGTTTTTGTGTATTTTAGACTGCGTGTTATGGCAATGAGATAATTTATATGATTTTGTTATATTTCTGTTGGTACTATTCTGCAAATCTTTTCGTTTATCGTTTTTGACGTGGAATAAAATAAGTACTGCAGAACAGCGGGTGGTTGGTTATTCGTTGGTAAAATCCAGCGCTTTCCCATACATATAGTATGTTCTTGTGCTATTCTGATGCCACACCATACTTTACAACAATTTTTATGTGGTCACTGCCCTGTACTCCTGTAACCAACTTTAGAAAGGCTGCGCGCGCAACCACGACCTTTAAACCACTAAGCGCTAACACACCGAGGACTTGTTTTTGAGCTCATGACGATTGTTTTATTTTCAAGATGTTGCTGAGCAGATAAAAATACCAGATGTTTTATCGTTTGAAACATCGTCAGAGTTAGATTACTTTACGTTTCCTAATACATCTCGTTTAATGATTTCAAATAAGCATTACAAAGATGGCTACCATTCGCTTCTTTGGCGCTGGGAACCTGGGGATGAATTAAAACTTTCACTTGGTCGGCGTGTCACGGGTAGTCACTCTGGTGTCAAAGTTTGGATATATCGTAACGAAAGCTCGCTGGGCAATATGACTGTCAGGCTCATGGACAATGGAAAAGTTACATTGACCTTCAATTTTCTCTCAGCTTCACGGGATGGCGTGGAGCCTGGGTTGCAATTAAGGAGACAAAACACGTGACGAAACATGATGGTTATGATGAGGTTATCATTACCGCTCCACCAACATCCATAACATCACGTGTTCTCTTCATGGACTTGCTCTGTTTTGCAGAGCATATCGCCTATCAGTCACGTGATAAAATTGTTCCACCAATCAACGGTAGTATATACACAATAAAACAAACTTGGCAACAAACGTATCGATGGAGCACGAGGAGACCACCAGAGGTTAATAAAACTTCACCTTTGACATCCAAAGAATTAAATTTGTTGTCTGAAATACACCTAATTCATAAACGTTTTGTAAACTGGTTTGCAGACCAAAACGTTTCAGTGAGTCAGTACAGAGGGAATGTTTTAGAAAGATGGAAGCATATTATTGTCGATGGACTGCAGAATGCAAAACGTTATTTAAAGATCATAAATGTAACCATGAGTAAAGACGGCATTATTACTGGCTCTCCGTTGTTCATGAAACGCTCTCAGTTTGGTCATTTTCTTCTCGATAAGGGAAGAAATAAAAAAATGGGAAACGTCAGTTTTTATATTCTCTTTCCACTCACCCTGGAATATTTCTTCACCGCGAATTTAAACAATATTCATCATTCCATCTCAAGAGAACTTGCCAACATCAACAGTTTAGGAAGAAGAGAGTTTGCCGTGAAAAGAATCGTGAATTTTGATTTACAATATTCTAAATTACTTTATCTTGAGTTGAAGAAATACAAGATACCTTTAACGCAAAGTGATTTGAGAAGGTGCTTACGAAATCTAAATCGAAAGAAATTGGACACAATATTATTATTAATAAGGTACATCACAGATCAAGGATGGGCCGAGGGGAGCGCTATGGGATCATTAGATCACGCATTGAACAATGTTGGTGACGGTTATATGAACTCAATGTTTTTATTAAAAAATGCTTTGCTCAATGAAGGGATGTTGGACAAGATTGTTAAAATAATGAAATGGCACAACGACTTTAATGAGATTTACCAAAAAAAATTTGAATATACTGGAACGACGGCGGATAAACTTCGCACAACAATGGTATATCGTTTACAGACTATATTGATGAATCCAGAAAGGAATATTAAAGAAAAAAGAGAAAAAATTCGTGATATGTTTGCTTATGTAAGATGGTGCAACAATGTTCTTTTATCTCATCCAGCTTTATTACCAACATTTAAACCTGACGGGTCGTGTTTTCATCATTTGTGTATCTATGGACCTGCGTATTGTCCTGAAGCTCTCATTAAATCCTCAACAGTTTACTATTATCTTCAGGGAACATCCTTTTCACTCGATAGCAACTCAAAGATGAACATTAGGCGTAGTTTGATGGCTTATATCAAAATGGCGCCAAAATATTCTCTTCCCAACTCGATCTCCGGACGATTTCCTGGATATTTTAAAGCAACACTTGTTACGATGTTACCAGCGTACGCTTTTCTCACTATAAAACCACGTTATCTCAGCCCAAATGGTCAACTTGAGGCTGTGTTGCCTGGTAACGATACGGAGTTGCTAAGATATTTTGTTCGTTTATACGATCCAGAGAACCCAAAAGTTCTGTCTTATTTACAAAGTGCTTTTGTCATGAGAGTTTCCTACAGCTCAACTATCGGTGAGTTCTAAATTTCCTTTGAATTGTTTAATTTAGTTATTCAACTTAATTTTTTCTTTGAATATCTTTATACTTCTCTATTTCATCTTATATCCTTACATGTTCCTTTTTATCTCCTCATGTTTCTCATTGTATCCCTACCAATAGTCTCTTCTTATCTATGCATGTTTTGTGTCGAACCACATCTGTTTTTCACTTCATATCAATACATGTCTCGTGATATCTCTCTATATCACTACATGTCTCGTGATATCTCTCTATATCAATACATGTCTCGTGATATCTCTCTATATCACTATATGTCTCGTGATATCTCTCTATATCACTACATGTCTCGTGATATCTCTCTATGTCACTACATGTCTCGAGATATCTCTCTATATCACTACATGTCTCGTGATATCTCTCTGTGGCACTACATGTCTCGAGATATCTCTCTATATCACTACATGTCTCGTGATATCTCTCTATATCACTACATGTCTCGAGATATCTCTCTATATCACTACATGTCTCGTGATATCTCTCCATATCACTACATGTCTCAAGATATCTCTCTATATCACTACATGTCTCGTGATATCTCTCAATGTCACTACATGTCTCGTGATATCTCTCTATATCACTACATGTCTCGTGATATCTCTCCATACCACCACATGCCTTCTTGTTCCTTATCATTTTCCTCTCTATTACAACCATTAAGACACATAATATCAATACATTTCTCTTAAATATCTATTTATATCACTACACAAACCTCATCTTTATGTTTTTTCAACGAACTAAATCATATTCATTCATGTTCAGGTTCACTGCAAATCCTCGAGTCTCTACATAGACAACTAAAGAATGCAAGAATCATTGCATCTGAGCCTCCTTCAGGTCACTGGGTCCATAATTTTGCTGCATTCTCTATTCATCGTCGTCGAGAATGGGTCGTCACCATTAAAGGCTTCAGTCAACATGTTTGGAATTTTGAAAGTTCATCTTATGAGAATGTTTACGGAATGTTTCAATCCCATGGTGCATTGCAGATTTCAAATGACGAAGCAAGTTTGGCGGCATATGACGTCAGTCGCGGATGGGACTGGACTCGAGTTCCAGGCACAACGGCAATAAACTTTAGTCTTGATGAAATGTTTTCTCGTGGTTTCTCAAGATTTTATCAAAACTCCACCTTCGTTGGAGGTGTTGTTTTGACCGGTGAAGACGAAAAATTAGCAAATGGAGTATTTACAATGAAATTTCATCGCCACAAGGAGATTGGAGAGGAAGACATGTTTGGAAGACGGGAAATTGGATTTTTTTTCAACAAATCAATTTTTTTCTTCGACTCATTGATCGTCTGTCTTGGTGATGAGATCACAACAAAAAACAGTGAACCATACCTTACCCAAACAACCTTACTTCAAAATGAATACTTGAGTGAAATATCAGCGATATTTATAAATGGTGAAATGAACTTTCTTTATAAAAATCTCACAAAAACGGTGCAAGGACCAGGTACAATAATGGATACATTAGGTAATGGTTACTATATCCCTCATGGTCGGTCAGTTAATGTTGAAATTAATGAACAACGGTCGCGAACAGAGAATGGTAAATCGGTTAGTAAGTCACGGTATGCTACAGTATGGTTCAATCATGGTGTTAATCCATCGTCTCAAAGCTATGAATACGCTATACTTGTGGGTACAAATATAAAACAAATGAACGCTCTTCTTGAAGCCCAAGCTTCCACTCTACCTTTATATGAAGTTCTCCTGAAAAACTCCGCTGTCCATATGGTACGATTTACTGATACCCTGGGGATTGTAAGTGAGCGAAGTCCTGGGTACGAGAGCTATGGTTATTCCTTCTTTGATGCAAGTGTCACTCTTAATCAAGGTCCAATCGTCAATGTCAGTGATCAATGTGTCGTTATGGCTGAGATCGATTCTTCCAATTATTCATCATTAAATTTAAGTGTCTGTTCACCCGATCGTAATTACAATTCAACATTAAAACCTCGACAAAGTACAAAGAATGGCGTAAATGAGTATTTCTACATGATCAGTCAACCTGTTAAAGTATCTGTTGATATTAGCCAACCTGTAACATTACATGGCGTTCTAGTCAATGGAAAACCCATATCACCCTTATTGTACTCTCATTATATCCTTGTGGTTCCATCTGACCCTCAACAACCATCGTGTGGCGGGAAAAGGATTGTTTTTCAGTATCTTGTCGATGGAGAGAGTGTGGAAGCAGCTCTTAGTGTTGTGAACCGTAGTTTGAATGTTTAATTGAACAGCGTTCTCTAAAGAGAGTGTTATTGCGAAAAAATATATACCTGTATAATATTGCAGACTGTAACTCACAAGAATTTGATCTATTTTGGCTTCATTGACAGCATATTAATTTGAGACTTTTACAACACAAGTTTGATATGGTAGAGCATTTTTCCAGATTGGAATAAAGTATTTGATCTTTGTAAACACTATAATTCCACGCGAAAATCACGCTCACCCACGAAAGCTCACGAACACGTGCTCATATATGTTGAAATCCCCCCCCTGAAATAGTAGTAATTACTCTTCTCAAGCAAAAGTATGCTTTGTCTTTTCTTTCGTCTGATACAAACTTTGAGTCATGTCGACGAATCCTAAAATTCAATCTCGTCGGCCTTTACCACAGAAATTTCCAGAATGGAATCATTTCTTTAAAGGTAAATGCTCTTAAGGAGAGCATGCTCTTTAGTTTCATAACTTTCTTGGCCTTTTTTTTCCATGGCAGGTCAAAGTACAGTAAAGTACTACAAATCTATGTATTTATCTTACAGATCATTCAAAAGAAGACAGTAGCAGTGCATTCTTGTTTTTGGTTATTATATTTATTATATCGTTACTGTTGATGGTCTTCTTGTACATGAGTTTTCCTAAATTAAAAGAGTATGTTTGTATTTTTAACAACTTTTTAATTTTATCTACAACGAACGAATATTGATGAAACACTGTTGTTTTAGAGAGGATGCTGAAAGTATAAAGCTGCCAAGAAATATGGCAGATGCAAAAGCCTTGGCTACAGTCCTTTCAAATTATAAAGATGATTACTTTTACACAGTTGTGTTAGCATTTTTTTACATTTATGTTTTGTATCCTTTCATTATTAGACGTTTTTCTTTGTTTTATGACCTCCATGTCACTGTAGGTATCCAGCTTGCTTATTTAGTCATTCTGTGTTCACCCACTGTGATAACAATAGATTTCTAAAGATATGAATAATGATAGTGTTGTTCAGAAATTTAAATTGGAAGACTAAAACTTGCAGGTTGACTATTTTATTTGTTCTGATGGTGCCATAACTCTCACATGTAATTGTTTCTTTAACTATGACATCAGTTTACAGTCATTTGCAATACCTGGGTCAATATTTTTGAGCATTTTGTCAGGATTTCTGTTTCCATTTCCTTTGGCTTTGTTCTTAGTTTGTTTGGTGAGAAAATACATGAAATTATACTCACAATTGTATTTGTTTAGGTTAAAAATTTCTTCATTTTATGTTTAGTGTTCAAGTCTCGGAGCTTCATTTTGTTATCTTCTGTCAAATTTAGTTGGAACGCGTCTCATAAAGTATTATTTTCCTCAAAGAATCACAGAGTGGCAAAAAAATGTAACTGCCTTAAATAAGTTTGTGGTGAAATGTCTTTACTCTACGTTCCTTTAATGTTAAATTTCATTGATTTCAGGTTCAGAAGCATAAAGATGATTTGTTAAGCTATATTATATTTCTTCGAATAACACCGTTTCTTCCCAATTGGTTTATAAATATTGCATCTCCAGTTATTGATGTTCCATTACTACCTTTCTTCCTTGGCACTTTTGTCGGTAAACTTTGATTTGATTTTCTATGCAAGACTCAAAAATGCTTTGCTTTTACATGTTATTAATGGTGATTTATAAAAGTGTTTATCTTCCTATGCAGGTGTTGCTCCGCCATCATTCGGATACATCACAGCAGGCGTTGAGGTTCACAAGTTGGCAACGACCGGAGATGTTATGACATTTCAATCTCTTGCAATTGTTGTTATTTCAGCCTTACTTTCTCTCGTTCCTGTTATATTTCGTAAACAGTTAAAAAAGAAAATAGAATGATACATAAGATGTTTTTACCAAAGTTAATTTACAGAAATGCATTCATCTTTAATTTTTTTGGGAGACAGATGGTTGAATCAAAATCCTTGTATAGAAATTTTTCGTTGAATAAAACGTGTTATATATATACATACATAGTAAGGTTTTTTTCTTTATTCGTTCACACAACCACAATAAAACGAAAACCTCATTCTGCCCTCCATGTGAAGGATGGAATCATGGTGAAGACAAAGGACAAAATGGCGACTTGTCATGTGGTCAATGTTTTATGCCCAAATGGCCGCCGTCAAAAAATAAAACTCACAGCTCAAACGACAATATTACAGGTATTGTTGCTGCTCGATGCTGAAATATGATTGTTAAAACTGTACTTTTTACGTTCTTCTAAAACGTAAATTAATTTATTATATTGTGTTTTGTGGTCTGGTCTTTACTCAGAGAATTCTGTTTCGTGATAGATTTGTGAAGTATGCAGCGTATGATTTCTTATGTAGATAATTCATGATGTTTGCAAAAAACAAAATTTGGAGTCAAAAAATTACAGTCTTCGGTAAGATTCCAGGAATGATGTCTTAAATGTTAGGAGATTCATGATTCAGAATCAAATTGTTTTCTAAATTTTAGACATCAAAGGAAAACATTAAATAATACGTTAACCATACGATTTGCCAACCTACCAAATAATGCCCATCTTGAATTGGTCGAGACAGGAGATACGCCTCAGACTTCTGGTATGTAAGAACTGAGACTGTCGAGTTGTAGACTTTTTTACTGCTCATCCTGGGCCATCAACAAGTGTTTGTTGTAGTGTTGTAAGTTCAGAGCATTCTCATTATTCGTTTCAAATATATTGTTTTGTGTGTTAGTGAGTTGTGACTGAACACAGAAACAGTTTACAAAGCATGTCCAAAGTAGCAAACTTGTCATACAGAACTGACCTCGAGTAACATGACATGACTCACGAGTATCGAATGGCGATTGGGCAGGTGACTCGTGAGTCAATTGCGAGTGAATAAGTGACTCGCTGTTTGTGAGTGAATCGAAATAACTCGCAAAAATTTCTTTCTCCAGTACAACTGATTATAAGACAAAAGAGAATATTTCTTACATATTTGTAAACATAGCTGCCAATGCATGTAGATTTCTGCTTGGTTACTTAAATATTTCAACTAAACCTTTGCACTTCCTATTTCAAAGTATATTAAAATTTGAAATTTTTTCAGCAAAGCAGTGTGTTGTGGCTTTGCAACTTGAAAATGGTGAACGTCTCGTTCATGAATTCACTTCAGACTTCACCCTGTTTAATATCCTCAAATTTTGGACAACTAAATCACCAAGGTATTGCTACATAAACGTGGGATATTTTCATCATTAAAGAAAGATGAGAAAAAATGAAGGTTCTACTTACGTAATTGTTTGATTTAGTGTTGTGTTTGATGATGACATGGAAGGAGTAAAATGTGTTTATACAAACCAACAGGTACATGTTTATGATGACATTTAAAATTTTCTTTTTTGTCCTTTTAAAAAGCAAGAGTTTTGCTTTTTTATAGATTACTGGATTGCAGAAACTTCAAAATACCACACTTTCAATGATTGGCTTAAATGGAGGTCGTGGAGTGATAAGGTGGAACATTTTAAGTTGATAGTACTTGATTGTACTTGTTTGTACTTGATTGTACTTGATAGTCCTTGATAGTACTTGATAGTACTTTATAGTACTTGATAGTACTTGATAGTACTTGATAGTACTTGATAGTACTTGATAGTATATGATAGTACTTGATAGTATTTGATAGTACTTGATTGTACTTGATAGTCCTTGATAGTACTTGATAGTTATAATGTGTATACATGTGTTAGGGAACAAAGAATTTTTATAATTTTCAGACTTCTTCAAAATAATCGGTCCAAAAATGTTGATGATCAAAGAAGTACTAAAGGTGATGGATTTAAAATTTTTCTGTTGAATCTTCTTCATTTTAATGTTTATCTCTACAACTTTAGATGATATTGAGAGCAAAGAAAGATCTAAAACTTCACCAGAGCCGTGTCTCATCAAAGATAAATCTTCAAATGAAATGGATGTTAGTAGTTCTAGTAACATGTCCATATTGAGCTGTTCAAGTCAATCAACTGATGATGTCATCGTAAATTCAAACGACAAGCCTACCACATGCGATCCACGTGATAGTGAATCACGTGACACTCCTGCAGCCAATGGAAGTACTACAGGCGATACATGTGACACTCCTATAGCCAGTGAAAATCTCCAAAAACAGTATAAGAAAAATAGTTATAGTAAAATTGAGGAGCTTATGGAGGTTGAAAAAACGACGGAATCTTTCCCAGCAGAAAAAGACGACATGGAAGTCGACAATGAGCCCAAAAATATGTCACTCCCCCCTGATAAGTCTGAACCATCTACATCGCTTCTCCCCCAGGTGCAGTCTGTACCATCTTCATCACTTCTCCTCCCTGTGGAGCCTGTGCAATCTACGTCAGATGGTCAAACATCTCTAAACATCAGGGAAACATTTAGTGGAACAGGAAGACGATTGAACGAAGAAAGTATGAATATATTGAACATGTTTCTTTTTTAAAATTACCATGAACATTTGAACGATGATTTTTCTCAAATAGATCCTGAGGATGTTAGAAAGAGGCCTCGTTTTCAGTCACCTCCATCACGTTTGGTATGTTTGCTTTGTACTGGCATTGCTAGCCTTGAATTTTGGTGGGGGGGGGGACGGTAATATTCATACCGTAGAAAACAATTGATTTCAAAGAAACTCTACAGCAGAACAGACATGTCCGTATGAATTTGTTCTGCCCCCACCACCCCCAATTATCGAGCTAGCTGCATACGTAACTGTTGCTGGGTTATTTAATTCCCGCCATTTTGTGGAAATCTTTGTATTTCTAATATGTATTGTGTATTTTTGAAAGGTTGAACCTAGTCATGTCGTTGAAAGGTAATGCTCCTGTAGACTTTGGTTGTAAAGGAACGAGTTTCTGATCGATATAATGTTGTTTTAGTGAAATAGAACGAGAGGCTGTCGTATTTCGACTCGGTGAACAAGACCCGGCTACTTCAGGTGTAAATAGTTATAAATTGTTTTAAATGGTGATTTTGTCGTTATTGAGAAAATTTTCAACATGATGTTGAAAACTTTGTTTTGTTCTGGGACTTTCATCTTCGTCAATTGTCTGTTTGTATGATCTAGTTGAAAGGCGAAAATTTATAAATGCTGGCTTATGGAAATAGTTCTTCTTTCCATTTCACTCTTTCTTCTCTAGTGCTCAGAAGAGCGTCTGTTCTTATTCTACAAATTATATGAAACTTCTCTCGTTGTTTTAGAATCATCAGATGTTGCAGATGATTTCTTTGAAGTGACCGTCGATGATTTGCGAGTAATGTTGAAACATCTTAAAAATGAAAGGTAAATTTATTACACACGTTTTTATGTTCTTGGACATAACGGAACAATTCTTTGATTGTGATGTTATTTCCTATCATTTATTATTAAAAACGTGTCAACGAGAAAACGACAATTCAATTCAGCAATCATATAACTTAAAATGTAAAATTCAACGAAGAACGATAATTTTTAGGAAGTTTGAAATAGCCGTTAAACAGCTTCACAGCTTGTGTTACGGCCCTAGGCATTTGTACCTTAATGCTATTTATTGAAAATGTAATAATTGTCTTTGTAATTTTGTAAACAGAGATTTTGAGAAATCGTTGATGACGTCAAAAATGAGAGATAATCTTGACAGAGACAAAATTCAACAATATAACAGGGTAAATAACTATTATTACATACAGTAGTCTTGCCAGCTCAACATTTACTCCTGTTATACAAATATCTTTTCTATTCACCGACAGCGTAGAAACTACAGGGGCAGGGTGCACGAAGCCTGGATAGCGTTATCCATTGGATAGCAATTTTTTTAAACTTTTATAAAACCTTTTAATAAGCAAAAAATATAAGATTTGAACTGAGCAATCACTGAAATAAAATATAGTTTCGAAGGTTACGAAATTTCTTTGTCGTATGAAAAATATAAACACCTTTTTTATAAGTTTGAAAATTTTTGCTATCCAATTTATAGCGCTATCCAGGCTTCCTGCAACCGGCCCCAGATTTATGATATAAATTTTTTATGGCAGAACGAAATATTTAGGTTGCCTTCACTTCTGACGATAGAAACATTTCGTAGTTAAGAGAAAAATTTCCGTTTAATCTACCTAATTTACTTTATATTGCGAAGTCTGTGTTAAAGACATGTAGTTTTAGTAAAGGAGAAATTTCACACGGCCAGTACGTGTTAAATGTATGTAGTTTTAGTAAAGGAGAAATTTCACATGGCCAGTACGTGTTAAACGTATGTAGTTTCGAAAAGGGAGAAATTTCACATGCCCATGGCTTAGTAAAAGAGAAACTACACATGCCCAGTACGTGTTAAGTATGTGTAGTTTCGTAAAAGAGAAACTACACATGGCCAGTACGTGTTAAGTATGTGTAGTTTCGTAAAAGAGAAACTACACATGGCCAGTACGTGTTAAGTATGTGTAGTTTCGTAAAAGAGAAACTACACATGGCCAGTACGTGTTAAGTATGTGTAGTTTCGTAAAAGAGAAACTACACATGGCCAGTACGTGTTAAGTATGTGTAGTTTCGTAAAAGAGAAACTACACATGCGCAGTAAGTTTTAAATACATGTAGTTCCACATGTCGTTGTTATGTTTAGGTAATCATTCGCGTCTACTTCCCAGACAGAAATGTACTTCAAGGTTTTTTTGCACCCACCGATACTGGTAAGGTGACCCACTGCTATTTTCTGCATAAAAAATTCAAGGTTGAAAATGTTGCTATGTTCTGAATTCAGTGTCAAACGTCGCTTCGTTCGTTCGTGAAAATTTGGCAGAAAAATCAAAGGAATTTTACCTATGTGCGTATTGATACTTTTCACTTTGTAATTTTATTTTTATGGATTGTTCAAATGGACTCATACTTTCCTCCATTTAGATACAACACCGCCAAAGAAAGTTCTTGATAAACCAAACATTACTTTATATGAGGTAAATATTTCTCTCTCTGTTATGATTCCTTTTTTATAAACTTAACTCGTTACTTTATTTGCGTTATAATTGAAGGCAAAACTTTTCCCTACTGCTATTGTTTATTATGGCTGTCATGAAGGCCAAGGTACAGTTAATTGTGTTGTACAGTGTATGTAGATGATTGTGTCTTTAATTTTTGGAATTCTTCTGTATTTCACTTTTAGGAAGTTTTCTTAATAAAAAGTGTTTGGACGACATGACTGACTTGGGTTCAGCTAATGATAAAATACAGGAAAATAACAGGTATGAAAGGAATCTTACATGAATTACTTATTTGCAATTATTAACATAGATAGATTAAACACAAGGTAACTTGGTTGTAAATTGTTAATCTGGCTCTCCGTTGTATTCGATTTTCAAGAACTTTGTTGTACAGTTACTAATATATACTTTGCACAAAAATAGACATAAATGTTTACATATTATCTAGGTTAAGGTAACTTATTGGTAACTTGTTGATCTGACAATTTGTTATTAATAAAGTACTCAATGTTTATTTACTTCTATACCAGAACATTGTCAGGTCGTTTATCGACTTCGAAAGTTATGAAAGATGATTTAAGCAATTCTCAGGAGGTGAAGACAGCATCCATTGACGACACGGCAGGCGGTAATCATACGACATCAGAAAGCTCCAGAATAACAAGGTCGAACAATTCAAAAACTGTCCCAAAATGGTTCAAAATTGGGAAGTAAAAAAGCTGTAAATCCTTTTCATTTTCCTAATTAACTGAACTTTTCACGGCAGTAGATCGTATATGTAGAGAAAAGTAACTTACTCACGTGGGTTTCACGTGAAATGAGAAAATAAAAATTATCACTATAGTTGGATGACGGTAGATGATGATAGGTAACAGTGGATGACCGTAGATAACCGTAGTTGACGCTTGGTTAAAGTGGATTACGGCAGGTTACAGTGGATGACGCTTGGTTAAAGTGGATTACGGCAGGTTACAGTGGATAACGGTAGGTTACAGTAGATAACGGTAGGTTACAGTGGATGACAGTAGGTTACAGTGGATAACGGTAGGTTACAGTGGATGACAGTAGGTTACAGTGGATAACGGTAGGTTACAGTGGATAACGGTAGGTTACAGTGGATAACGGTAGGTCACAGTGGATAACGGTAGGTTACAGTGGATAACGGTAGGTTACAGTGGATAACGTTAGGTTACAGTAGATAACGGTGGGTTACAGTGGATAACGGTAGGTTACAGTGGATAACGGTAGGTTACAGTGGATTACGGTAGGTTACAGTGGATAACGGTTGGTCACAGTGGATAATGGTAGGTTACTGTGGATAACGGTAGGTTACAGTGGATAACGGTAGGTTACAGTAGATAACGGTAGGTTACAGTGGATAACGGTAGGTTACAGTGGATGACAGTAGGTTACAGTAGATAATGGTAGGTTACAGTGGATAACGGTAGGTTACAGTGGATAACGGTAGGTTACAGTGGATAACGGTAGGTTACAGTGGATAACGGTAGGTTACAGTGGATAACGTTAGGTTACAGTGGATAACGGTCGATGACGGTAGGTGACCATATTTAAAACTGAAAGTTAAAAATGGATGGTAGTAATTGACATTGGGCTACAGAGGGTTACGATTACAATATAAACAGTACATGTCGCTTTCTCCCTCTTCTTCCAGTCGACCGTTGGGAAATGGGCAGGAGTAATAATAATGTAATAATTATTGCAATGACGTTCTGCTACATTGCGCATGCGCATTGTCTGATTCAATTTTTCCAAAACAACAACAAAGGAATGGCAAGATTATAACATTTTTCATTTGCTCTCTTCGGAGAATGTCTTGAATGAACGATGAACCTGGCATCTAGATCAGGCGAGCCTAGTGGCAGCCTTCTTTTTGTCAATTTTAATCAAGATATTTCGTGAGTACTTGTATAACTGATTTTTTGTTCAACGGTTAACCTTGTAGGAAAATCTTGTTTGCGCTAAAAGACGCTCAGGATTTTGGATTTTTTCTTTGATTCATTAAAGATCCATAGCTGTTGGCAGTGTCATGGGATACAAACTGTATTCTCTCAACTCTGTTGAAAAACTCGATGAAATCTACAATTATGGTTAGTTTAAGAGAAGTGTCCTCACTTTTCCGCGCTATAAATATTGTGAAAACGTTATTCATGATTTGATTGATGAAAGATTGTTATTTTAACTGTCGGTGCTGGGAAATACTTTACTTATTTTGAGAAGAAGAATTCTACTACATAGTGACATGGGATACTTTACCAAATCATTCATGAAGTCCATACAGGTTAATAATATGTCTAATTTTAGAGGGTGAAGACATCTGTATTGTTGAAAGACTATTCTCCAGTAGTCTTGTAGCTGTCATCAGCTTATCTTCTCCTCGCAAGCTGAAAATCTGCCATTTCAAGGTAAGTAGCCATCGAATGCAAGAGTGGAAAGTTTGAAATGTATGTCAACATTTAACTCAGCTCCATGTGTGTGTATTTCCTTCACTCACAGACAGGACCACTTGCTCAAAGCCTTAGTCCAACCAGCACCCTGATGTGTAATTATTCAAAACTTGTGATAAAAAAATATGCTCTTTTATGGTTTTGTAAAACTATATTTATCATAGGAATGGGGATTTGTACAAAACTTGAATGTCTAGCCGTGCAAACATTTATAATTATTGTTGCTTACTACACAAAATCTATACTAAACTACAATGTTGTTTATGCACTTTTAAAAAACTCCATTGTGGGTTCCATTTATGTTAAAGAAGAATTTTCTGATGCTTTAGTGATTTATTTTTATGATTTTTATAGAAAGGAACTGAAATATGCAACTACAGTTATCCAAACACTATTTTATCTGTGAAGCTAAACAGATTGGTTTGTTCAGTATTCATGACAATCTACATAATCATTTATTTCAACAGAAATGATTGCTTCCATATTTTCTAGAGATTACTTGTGACCTTAGAAGAAAGTTTATATATTCATAATATTCGTGATATGAAGGTAAAGAAATGTTGTTTATTGTATTTTTATGTTCATTTGTAAATAGAAATCATCTTTTTTTATGACATTTCAGGTGTTACATACAATTCGAGATACTCCACCAAATGTCCTGGGTATGTGATATTTATATTTATCTTGTTCGTATTTTATTTTTCCAATCTACATAGTCCTGAGCTTATTATGATGTTTTATTTCAGGTCTTTGTGCTCTATCACCAAGTTCAGAGAATTGTTTCTTAGCCTATCCTGGAAGTAATCAGGTAGAGGTGATTTTGAATGCATAAAAATCAGTGTGCGAATTAACGGTGTGCAATGTGCAATTTGCACATCGTTTTAGCTAAAATGAAAACAATTGCACATCACTTTTTCAAACCATGTGCAAAAATCAGCGGTTTTAACGAAAAAAAAACTGTTGAAAATCATATGAATTTGTTCACGTTTAAAAATATTAATTTAGCAATTAGCGCTATATAATAATTAACGTAATATCGATTTGATTATGCCTCTAAAGAAACACTTTTGTCAAAAAAAATTGCACATCGTTTTTTCTGAACAAATTCGCACACTGATAAAAATTTAAATCAGTTAAATCATGAATTAAACATTAGACATTCTTTCAATTTTAGATTGGTGAAGTTCAGATTTTTGATGCAGTCAACTTAGTAAGCAGCAAATTTTTACAAATTTTATCATCTGACTTTGCATTAATCAATAATTTGTGATTTCCGATCTTTCAGAGAGCAGTTACAATGATATCGGCCCATGATTCTCCTGTTGCAGCTCTTACCTTCAACACAACAGGAACTAAACTAGCAAGTGCTTCTGAAAAAGTCAGTTGATTCATTTTAACTGTATTAAAGAAGTTCATGTAGTATTATAAGGCTTGTTTATTGTCTCCAGGGAACTATTATCCGAGTATTCTCAATTCCTGATGGTCAGAAACTATTTGAATTTAGAAGAGGAGTGAAAAGGTATGGATGATTTGAGAATAAACAAAGTCAAAGAATAGATTCATCAGTTATGCTTAAACATGATGGACGAAACACATCCAGTGATCCATTCACTTCTGTGTGATATAAATTCCTGTTGCTATATATTTTTAAGAGTTAGTCAAATGCACTTACTCTGGTGAAATTCCTGCATAGGAGTCTATAGTCTAAAATGTTATCTTGTTCAGGATTAATAATGACAATACACATTTCCTGTACACACAATACAATGACGTAAGAACCAGATAACAAATACGGCTAACCTGACGTTTACTCCTCATTTGACTCTGAAGATGACTACCGCTAAGGTTGTCGAAACGTCAGTCAACAACATCAAAAACAGTCCTTCTCAGGACTTTATTAACCTGGACGATCATCATTTACAAACATATAACGATACTCCCTTGTTCAAACCATTTACTTTATTCAAGATTCCTAGAGAATAGTGGTAGGATCTTGTGGGATCTTACAGTACCAGTATTCTACTCAGGAATTTCACTAGGGTGTATGAATGTACTTCTTATGAAATAATTGTAATGTATGTTTATCAGATGTGTGGTGATCAGCTCTCTGGCATTCAGTTTGGATTCAATGTTTCTTTGTGCATCAAGTAATACTGAAACTGTCCATGTTTTTAAACTTGAAATACCCAAGGAAAAGTAAGGATTCATTCATTTTTAAACAGGAATTTCATAAATAATAAACATCTTAAATATTGATGACAGTTTATTTTTCTCGTCATTTTACTAGGACTGTGGAAGAAACTAATACTTGGATGGGCTATTTTGGTAAAGCTTTATCTCCTAGTAATTATTTACCATCACAGGTAAATGATGTCATAGAAATAGGATTACGTCATGAGGATGACGGACGTCACTGTGTAATGATCTTTCTTCGTCAGGTTGCGGAGGTCTTCAGTCAAGGTCGTGCCTTTGCTAATGTCAAACTACCAACTGCTGGTCTCAAAAATGTTTGTGCTATTGCGACGTGAGTACACTTTAACATTTTGTCTACAGGCTCAATTTTACATCGTGTTGCATTGTCTACAGGCTCAACTTTACAACATGTTGCATTGTCTACAGGCTCAATTTTACATCGTGTTGCATTGTCTACAGGCTCAATTTTACATTATGTTGCATTGTCTACAGGCTCAACTTTACATTATGTTGCATTGTCTACAGGCTCAACTTTACATTATGTTGCATTGTCTACAGGCTCAACTTTACATTATGTTGCATTGTCTACAGGCTCAACTTTATGTTGCATTGTCTACAGGCTCAACTTTACATCATGTTGCATTGTCTACAGGCTCAACTTTACATCATGTTGCATTGTCTACAGGCTCAACTTTACATATGTTGCATTGTCTACAGGCTCAACTTTACATCATGTTGCATTGTCTACAGGCTCAACTTTACATTATGTTGCATTGTCTACAGGCGCAATGTTCCATCATTTTGTATTGTCTGTAGATTAATTTTCCTTCAAGTGGCATTGTCTGTAGACTCAATTTTGCGTCATGTTGAATTGTCTGTGGGCTCAGTTTGTCTGCCTTTACAGGATCAGTCGACTACCTCGACTTTTTGTCGCTACAGCTGATGGATATCTTTATATTTATAACATTGATCCTGAAGAAGGAGGCGATTGTACTTTACTCAAACAACACAAGTATAGTATTTATTCATTTATTCAACTATTCCTTTCCATGTTTTACTGCATAAAGTTCAGAAAATATCTATTTGGTTGAATGGGGTTGAATGTTTAATATGTATTCGTTGTACTTGGTGTAAGAAATGTATTTCCCTAATAATCGTCGTACATTAGAAATCTATATATATAATATTACGTACCGCTTTAAAAGTATTTTTAGAATTATTGAGGATTGCTAAGATTGTAAATGATCATCTTTATCACTTTAGGATAATAGATGGTAGTGATGTAGAGGTAAGTCTTGTTTTACGGATCTTTCTTACGGTTCAAATATTACATAAAATCGTTTGGTTGTGTTTGAAATTTTGATCGATAACTGACTAAAAGTTTTCGCTTAACAGGATGAATGCAATATAGGAAACCCTTATTATTATGGATAAAAGTGTTGTGCCGGCGGTGACGTCACAAGTTTATGTGACGTAGTATGCACGGCGGTGACGTCACAAGTTTATGTGACGTAGTATGTATGGCGGTGACGTCACAAGTTTATGTGACGTAGTATGCACCACGGTGACGTCACAAGTTTATGTGACGTAGTATGCACCACGGTGACGTCACAAGTTTATGTGACGTAGTATGCACTGTGGTGACGTCACAAGTTGATGTGACGTGGTATGCACGGCGGTGACGTCACAAGTTTACGTGACGTAGTATGCACGGGGTATAGCACTTTAGTCGGGATTAGGTTCTTGCACTCGTAACTTGTAATCATTTTATGAATAAATTACTACGGTCCCTATTTGAAAAGTTTAACAAACGACTTGCATGAATATGTTACGGCTGGTGGTGTTGGGTTACGGTTGGTGGTTGCGAGCAGTAAAAGTTTTTGGGGTTGAAAATACCACGTTAAAACTTCTTGAACAATACAACGCAGTGTATGAAGAAATACTATTTGATCCAGGTGAGACTGAAGAGGAAGTTAATTATTGGTCACATGCGTAGTCAGGAAGTGACGTATCAAATGCTTTCACGTGTCGATTTAGAAATAGAAAAATTTCCAGTTGCGCGAAATAGTAACTTTTTTGCATTCATTAAGCGGTACAAGTCTCAACGATATAGTTAACACTCACATTTATAGCAAATTGCCAAAAATATCTTTACCCAGTTTTACAGGAGATTCTTTAACTTGGCAGGGGTTTTGTGACCATTTTCAAGTTGCAATTCATGTTGATTCTTTAAATTTGGCAAACTAAGAAGAAGCGATTGATATTTTGCGTGGTCGTTTCAGTAATGAGCAGGTGTTATATTTCACTCACATGGACTCTGTTGGAAAGTGACAGAATTTAGTCCATTGGCGATAAGATTAAAGAAAACTCTAACACACACGTAGAAAATTATGTTAGAAATTTACGATCGCTTCAAGTTGATACCAGCGGGCTTGGGTCTCTTCTCTTATTCAAATACTTAAAGAAAAGTTGTTGTCTGATGTGATAAACATGTTGGTTTCACGACAGTTTGTCGGACAAATGTGGAATTTAGGTTAGAGCTGAGCTAAGAGCTCGGGAAATTGCAATTTTCGAAGAGGTAGTAAACCAGATTTAAGCAGAAGAGATACTTTTACAACCAGTGCATTATTTAGTGAGAATAATAAGTCACATTGCGTTTATAGTGATGAAGAATGACGTTATCCATCTAAGTGTGACGTAGTTAGAAATCCTAAGGAGAAAGGAACTATCCTGTGGAAAAGTAAAAGATGTTTGATATGCCTCGAGAAGGGCCATATTGTAAAATTTTGTAAGTCAGCATATCAATGTAAACGATGCAAAAAGTACAGACATATTTCGATATGTGAAGCAGGCTTCGAAAAGAAAGTGAAGGCAATCAGTTAAAAGAGCGCGATAAGAGTATTGTTGGTAAAAATGGGTTTGTAGGTCACATTGGAGGAAAATGCAGCCGGCATCCTATTAAAAACGTCGATAGCTGATATTTGTCCCGAAGACAGCACTTTGACTAAACATTGCGCGAGAATTTTGTTTGATAGTGGCAGCCAACGCTCTTTTGTTTCAACAAAGTTCGGGAATAAGCTGAAGTTAAGTTTAAGAAAGAAAGAATAATCATTAAGACGTTTGGGCTGGCAGATGATAATGGTGTACAAAAGCTTGATGCTAGCACTCATGAATATAAAACGTAATACTGAAAATACCATTACTTTGATTGAAGCATTATGTGTTCCAACCATTTGTAGTCCATTGACATTTGAACACATACACAAGAAATATTAGGGAGTTTTGCGATTTGGAATTCGCAGACAATATCACAGATTCTTTAACATTACCAGTAGGCATTTTAGTAGGAATTGGTAATTCGACGTAGACTCCTCAGGCTTATAATCATTGACAACTTCAAGACGTTTAATTCCAAAGAAGTAAAGCTTTTCATGATGTCTCAAGGTATAAGACAACACTTTACACTTCTAGTTTCTCCTTGGTGAGGTGGGTTAGCACTTTGTAAGAACAGTAACAAAGTGTTGAAAGAAAATTGCGAGAAGAGTATTTACAACTTTCGAAGAACTACAAACCATTTGGTGTGATGTGGAAATTACCATCAGCAATCGGTCATTAGCCTACACAAACGAAGATGATCTAGATCAACCTTCGACTCCATTCCACTTAATGCAGGGTCGTGGCTATACAAGAAGGACCCCCCACAAAGCGCACGGAAGATGCAGTACCCGGATTCTGAAAAAGGTGTTAAAGGATTATTGGACTCGATTCAAGAAAGAATATTTAACTAAATAACAGCAAATGAACATCTACCGTTAGCTCAAACGTATGGTGGTGATCTTAACGTTGGAGATGTTGTATTAATAAAAGAAGATGAACCAGTTCCACGAGCACAATGGAGGATGGGAAAAGTCTTAAATGTCGTACTTGGATGTGACGGGTTAGTCAGGGGTGCATAATTTGCGAGGTTTCAGCAAAAGGTGGAAAACAAACTATCATCCATTGACCCCTATAAAAAACGCATCTATTTCAAGATTGCTGTGACAAATATCTATGAAGAAGAAGGGAGAACTGTAGACAAAGAAAACTGGGACTACTATATGAAACGTTGTAGGGGAAAATATGAATCAAAAAACATCAAAACGGTTGAAAATAAAGGCAGCTATAGAAGGGAGTAGTATGCGACGGTTAAGGGACATATTTCGGAAGCATGGGTTTCGAAGTCTTTGGTGGGGGAAGATGTGGAAAGTAGTGTTGTTAAATGAATAAATAACTACATAAAAGGCATGCGGTCACGCTTTTTAAAATATTATTTTACCTTACAATGGTATGTCAGTGTGTTTACGATACGTTTCTAGTACACTAGTTTTGGTGATTATGAATGGTACATTGGATAATTAGGGATAATTTATGATTCTCGTGTGTTTCAGACGAGAAATGAAGAAGCAAGCGGTGAAAGTGAGAAACCTCGCAAAGACGAGGAACTGACCCCTAAAGGACTTCTGGGAACGCAATCAACTACACCACCAACACAAGATAGCGTGGAGACGGATGATAGCCAATCACAAACCACAAAGAATACCACGTGGTACACGGAGGAAACATCGACAGAGAAACATGATGACGACATTCCACCTTTGGCAATGCCTAGCGATGAATGAACCTTAAACATGCGTATGTAAACGATTTATTGTTATATATGCTCCCCTCCTTGGTTTGGGATATTATCGAGTACATCACGGGGGGTGTGACGCTGGGTTATTTTCTAGGAACTTGTAGAGAGAAATTATACCATTGTAATCTTGAGATTGTTCTGCAACATTATTTATATCCTCATTTAAAGTTTTCACAATGCTTTTGGCTGTCCAAACACGTAAATTAAAGTTTTCACAATGCTTTTGGCTGTCCAAACACGTAAATTAAAGTTTTCACAATGCTTTTGGCTGTCCAAACACGTAAATTAAAGTTTTCACAATGCTTTTGGCTGTCCAAACACGTAAATTAAAGTTTTCACAATGCTTTTGGCTGTCCAAACACGTAAATTAAAGTTTTCACAATGCTTTTGGCTGTCCAAACACGTAAATTAAAGTTTTCACGATGCTTTTGGCTGTCCAAACACGTAAATTAAAGTTTTCACAATGCTTTTGGCTGTCCAAACACGTAAATAATATCATTAAAAGCGAAATGTTTTTTATTAGTTACATTAATTATTGGATATTATAATTTTTAAAATAAACACACTACGATTTAAATCTAAAATTCTATCTACAAGTTGAAATACATAAATAATCTATTCCTAAAAAGTGCAAGTGAGTCAGTTATATAGTATAGTTTTTCTAAAATTAACATAAGGTGATTATAACTTACAATATTTAATGAAGTTTACAGGAATGACTTACATAGTTACAATGAATAATACTTATTTATACAGGGACAAATTCATAAAACTTGTTGTTGAGCCCGCGTTGCTACGTTTTTGTTTATTTTCGCCATCAAATAGTTTTTGTCTCTTCCCACCTTAACGAAAGAAGAACATTTCATTTCTCTAGCTAGACATTAAAATTGAATGGAGTACAGTTAAGGAGTATGCCGTTGTGACTTACCAAAGCAATTTGTTCCAAGAACAATTTTATTTTCTGTTCGTTCGACGACTTCAACAGTTTATAGTAGTAAGTGAGCAAACTAAAGGATATTCAATAATGATAAACAAGAATGACGTCATAATTTGGTTGAAAATCTGACGTCACAAATAAAGAAGACCTAATGCAGTCAAATGTTCACTGATATAAAATTTTTATGAAAGAAGCTTTCGGCTGTCTGTCTGCAGCCTTCGACGGGTTATGAAGGGTTATGAACACGTCGAAGGCTGTAGACAGACATCCGAAAGCTTGTTTAATAAAAATTTTATATCAGTGAACGTTTGACTGCATTATGTCTAATCCTGATATCGGATCACGCATTTGTTCTAAATAAGACCTGCAAGGAAATGGTCATGAATAACGATGACGTCACACATGACGTCACAGTTGTAATCTCACGTACCTGAGAACGATGAATATGAAAAATACAACGAATGGCGATGAAACGATACGAATGATTTCTTTTAGGACTTTAGGGAAATCATCAATGTTATCCAAAACAACCTGATAGATAGTTTCCCTGTTTCGGAACGGTCCGCAATTTGACGGACCGAATCGACTATGGTGTGAAATAACATAGTTAAATACTAGTTCCCACGTAGAGTTCATTGTATTTTCATAACAATACCTTTCTGAGGTAATGGCGTAACCAAATGAAATTAAAATTAAGGCATATGATACTGCAAGTAATCCCAAAAATATTATGTTCATTTTCGATGCGAGAAAAGGCCGAACACTTGGTCGACAATTCCTTAAGACGCTTGTCTAAATAACATGAGAAGGATAGAGAAATTTAACACTAATGAACGATGTTTATATGGCTTTACTCAAGTAAACACGTTTTACCTTTTTCACATAAAACAAAATCCACAGTTTGAATAGACAAATGAACGACAATAAAGGACTAAAAAATGTTCCAAACCTAGAAAAATAACGGATTAAAATGAATTAAACTAGTACCCACTCCCTCTCTCTCTCTGTGTGTGTGATCATTGTAACAAACTAAGGATTTGCATTATAATAAGCACTGTTCATACATTTAAATATATAACATTTGACATTCAACTAGTACCCAGTTTTTCTCTCTCTGTGACTATCTTAAGTCGTTATAAAAGATTTCTTACCAACAAAGGGATTGTGCATATATAAGATCCAAGACATTTCGCGAAATATCAAAACCGGGAAAACCAATATTTTTTCGCCACCATTGAATATTGTTGGCTAAAAGTCTACAATCATAATATATACGTAATTTTTTAATGATAGTTATCTAATGATTTAATCTGCGACGCTCGCTGTTGAACCTACCGTCGAACAAATTCACCCAAAAATGTTGCCAATAATATGAATGCAAAATCGACCCACACAAGTCTGTAAAATGTCTGTCCTACGTAGTTTTCCCAACAGTAGAACTGAAACAAAACATTACAGAATGAATATTATATAATATGGAGAATTACAGCATCTTTTCATCTTCGTGAATGTAGATCGTCCAGGTTGGTATAGTCCTGAGAAGGACTGTTTTTGTTGTTGTTGACCGACGTTTCGACAACCTTAGCGGTAGTCATCTTCAGAGTCAAAAGATGACTACTGTTTTGACTCTGAAGATGACTACCGCTTAGGTTGTCGAAACGTCAGTCAACAACAAAACAGTCCTTCTCAGGACTATACCAACCTGGACAATCTACATCCACAAACATGTAACGATACTCCCGAGTTCAAACCATTTACTTTAATTACAGCATCTCATATCGTTCAACTTACAATCACACATTTCTTTTTTTCTTTTTCGCTCGCACATCCTATATCTCGATAGAGCGAAACAAATATCCCAGCGAGAGTACAAACCTTTAAAAGGACAGTCCTATACGACAAACGTTCATACATGATTCTCACAGTTTATCCTGAACGTGTGCCTAAGATGTTCAATATTGCTCACCTTGCAAGAGAAACGTTAATTGCTGTTTCGCCGTTTTGATAGTTCTCAAAGCTTGCAATTATACGAAACATCGCAGGAAGTAAAAGATTTAAAAACGAAACTGACAATGGTAAAAGAAGCTCTTTAAGTAGATTTGCATCGTCCTGTTTGATAAGACCATAAAAATAACTCAAAACATGATTACAAATTACCGATAAACTACTAAAACAACAATCTAGATTCTAGTTCTGTCTTACCTCTATTGAAATACCAGAAACTACTTCTACAATGACATATGTTGCAGCTCCAATAAGAGACAAAGATAGAAAGTTTGTGAATAATCGTAGTATTATTAAATTACACGATTGTGAACGGTTTAGATCTCTTCCTTCCGTTTTCGTCGCAGCCAAAGTTTCCTGAAAAAGCCGTAAAAACTGTTGAGTTAAAAATTATGTTCGGAGTCGGCGACAGATCGCGGATTTGTACCCCAATGATTTATGTCCGCACCCCTGACTAATGGCTACCATCCTCACTTCTCCCGGACTAATGGCTACCGTCCTCACTTCTCCCTGACTAATGGCTACCGTCCTCACTTCTCCCTGGCTAATGGCTACCGTCCTAACTTCTCCCTGACTAATGGCTACCATCCTCACTTCTCACTGACTAATGGCTACCGTCCTCACTTCTCCTGACTAATGGCTACCGTCCTAACTTCTCCCTGACTAATGGCTACCATCCTCACTTCTCCCTGACTAATGGCTACCGTCCTCACTTCTCCCTGACTAATGGCTACCGTTCTCACTTCTCCCTGACTAATGGCTACCATCCTCACTTCTCCCTGACTAATGGCTACCATCCTCACTTCTCCCTGACTAATGGCTACCATCCTCACTTCTCCCTGACTACTGGCTACCGTCTTCACTTCTCCCTGACTAATGGCTACCGTCCTCTCCCAATATCTCTATTACCGTTTATGGTTTACATTATGAAGGGGGAAATTTTTTTAATGGCGCACATGAAGCGGTTAAATGATGTGAAAAATTGCGTTTGAACGCATTGCAGAATACTGACGTTCTGGGGAGTTATCTTTTTTCATTCCAAATTAGTTGAAAAAGTCTGTGCGCAGACTTACCTCAATATCTTTTGCTATGCTTTGTTGTTTTATTGAACATCCCTCTTTATCATTAATGTTATAATCCCAAGCATTTAAGATTTTTAGAGGCAAATCATCGGTTTCGTTGGCTCCACGTAGATAGTATTTTTCATAATAGCTTGCCATGCTGAAATACATATTCATTCTTGTAGTGGTATTTGTAACTTATGCAGTGCATCTATATGTGATTGAACTGTATTATTGATTTGTTTTGCTAAAATTGGGAAGGTTAGAATGTTACTTAGAGCGATGAACAATGTATTTACGTGGGTGAAATTTGATGTTTCGGGGGTGACACTCCCCTGTAAACCATCCATAATTGTGAACCAGTGTTACTATTCTTACCTGCTTGCCATTATAATCAAACAAAGCAAAAAATAACTAGCACAAGTGAGAAGATAGGCCAAAGGCATCTGATAATAATAACCATCAGCCACCTCAATGGTTTTGTTAGTGTACTGTCCATAATATAGTTCAGTGGTGTTAAACCAACCCTGGAAAAAAGTTAATTCATAAACATATGGTATTTTGTTGTGATTTGTTTTCATACAATATATACCAACCGCTCCATCCAAGAGATTTTTGCCATTGAAGTCAGTAGAATTGGCAGTGTCTGTACTGCGTTCATGAATAATTTGTGGAACAAAGATAAACAGTAATACAAGAAGGAATATCAGAATATTCAGGAAGAACAACCAACGAAGGAACACAAAGTAAGACAATACACCTGTACCAAATTTTCCTGAAGACAATATATTTATTAAAGTCTTTAACCCAATAACACTTTTCTTAGCATAATTGACATTTTTGGTTACCTTGAATTTTCTTCAGTGGTTCAATCCAAAGTTCATGATCTTTAATGGCTGTGGCCACATTCTTTCGAAACCTTTGCCAACTCTATAAAATATATCACATTAATAAGTTAATGGCTTGCTAAATTACAGTAAATTATGAAACATAAAAGTATGACATACGTACAGCTGCAACTCTAAGTCTGAAGTAGCGAAAGGCACTAATGTGTTTCTCTTCTTTTTGTTTTTGATTGACTTCGTTTCTAAAATGTAAAGATATCAAATTTTTGTTGTGATCACATGCCAATTTGGAATTTTTGTCTTCAATTTTCACTATACATACAAGACAGCTTTCTTTCTCTTAAGTGAAGTAGCCAGAAGTTTGATATTTTCTGTTTGCTGCACACCACGTTCTTCCCCTGCTAAAATAAATTCACTCGTATTCACCACAGATTGGGCATGACCACGACGTCGCAATGATCCATCCGGTGTCCTTCCTTGATAGAATCTTCTTCGTTCTTCATTTGAAGGCAAGTTGCGGATAGCACGAACTGTATGACTAGGCAGGATCCTTTCAAGATTTTGTGTATCTTCATCTTTATTACTGGTAGTACTACGGTATGTGTCTGTTGATTGAAATTATTACTGTAATTGATAAGACAACTACGTATGTGATATAAAGTATGGCAGTGATACCTGTTGATGCAATGGAATGCACATCATCATCTATCCTAGAATATCCATGGCCATCCATCATATCCCTTTCAACATCAGCATTCTCATAAATCATATCTGTCATCATGACATCATCTCCAATGACAGGATTCCCATCATTCACACCGGCCATCATCACACCATTATCCTCTTCAATGACATCATTCGCATCATTCACAGTGGTCATCATCACACCATTATCCTCTTCAATGACATCATTCACACCGGCCATCATCACACCATTAGCCTCTTCAATGACATCATTCCCATCATTCACACCATTCCTCTTCATCATTCCCATTCACACCCATCATCACCATTAGCCTCTTCAATGACATCATTCCCAACATTCACACTGGTAATCATCACACCATTAGCCTCTTCAATGACATCATTCCCATCATTCACACCGGCCATCATCACACCATTAGCCTCTTCAATGACATCATTCCCAACATTCACACTGGTAATCATCACACCATTAGCCTCTTCAATGACATCATTCCCAACATTCACACTGGTAATCATCACACCATTATCCTCTTCAATGACATCATTCCCATCAGTCAAGTCTGCCATTGTCACACCATTAGCCTCTTCTCTGATATCATTCCCATCATCCATCATCACACCATTATCCTCTCCAGTGACATCATTCTCATCATTTATGTCAGTTACGATTACATCATCAGAACTTGATACTGTTTGATTATAGCTATTGATGACGCTTGAGGTGAGGTCATCCATACTACTGACTACAAGAAATAGTTTAAAAAATAAAATCTAAGTTTAATTTTAAAATGAGAAATTCAGCATGAAACTAACGAAGTAAACGAATATAATTCCTTCAAAAAATTCGTGAATTTTCATTTTGGAATTATTTTATTTAATTAATTATACCTATCGACACAGGAATGTAAACAAAGCTTTGTTGGGAGCGCTTATTTGCATTTATGAAAGACGAAGTCGTTTATTTATCATGAAAGAGTTCTTTAGGCAATATGTTAAACATTTCCACGCAGTGAACAGGCAAGAACTTCTCTGACGAAAGTAAAACAAGTAAAATATTTAAGTTAACAAAGAATCCTTTCATTCCCATGATAGCCACGTAGCAACCGTATAGTTTTCAAGAAATATATGTTTAATAGATATTTGACTCTGCTCGTCATAACCATAAACAATCATATTTTCATGTTAAGATGGTCAAAAACTTTAAAATTCAATTAGAAATATAAATTGTTACATTTTGACTCTAATTTGCAACACTCCAATCACCGAAATTCGAAAGAATTTGAAGACAAAAATACTTTAAAAAGACATCACGTCGATTTCAACAAGCTGTAATGTATACCGTATGCAGGATTTGAAAGTCCACTTGTCGTCGCATACACTTGATTATCATGTTGACCTCCACTCGACATAACTGCTTCACTTTCACTTTCGTTAGTTCCAGTGTTGTTCTTCAAATTTAACGATAAATCTTCAATATGTTTGTCCTCCATATTTGCAGCAATTCCAAAAACTCTCACACTTATTTCCAAAGTACGTTTACACTTTCGTTTAGAAAACAAAAACGATCACAGCTTTTTCCGCATTCCGCATTTGTAAACAAAACGAGCAAAAACTATATCCTTCACACACCCCACGTATCCCATACCGTACGCCGATCAAAACCATCAAAAGGCCTAGGACGAGAAGAAAAGTCTCGCGGGACAATTACGGGACAGATGCGTGACCTTGCACCATAAGCACACACGTTGTTATCCTCAGCCAAAATCACTCCAACGAATTGCAAATAATTTTTTTCATTTTCTGATGATGGATGAAGACTTTACGCCAGATTCATGGGACGCGTGTGATGATTCTAACATCGAAATTAATAACGGTGTCAAATCTTTAAATGTTGGTGCGAAACCATTTGTCCCTAATATCAACGCTCCTGTCTTTGTGCCTTCTTTTTCTCAAAAGACTACTGCTGCTGGTAAGGATTTATAAATAATGGCTTTATTTCACAATAAGCTAGGAAGATTAAAATGCTCTTATGGCAATTAGATTGTGTTTTTTACTTCTTAGTTTTTTTGTTATTGATGATCTGTCAGTTTCAGATTCAGTGAAATCCATTAATCAGGATTATGAAAGTATCACTGACTTGAAAAGTTTGTTCTTATTTTGTATTAAACATGATCTTGTGGTGTTGATGTTTGTGATTTAAATAACCATATAACTTTTCATTTCGTTCATGTAGAATCTGAAGTAATGAATGGAGAAAAATTGAATAATGAACCTTCAAGTATGAGTAAGTTTATTGAAGAATTGTGTTCACTTACGCTGCATGTTTTAACTATTAATATGTTTTTTTGGTTCAACAGATGAAGTTAATAATGCTTCAAAAGAAGATGAAAAACCAATTGGAAAATCGAAGAAGCCACAAATTATGCCAGAGATTATGAAGGAACATATTAACATAGTGTTTATTGGTCATGTCGGTATGTTTCCTTTAGTAAAAAAGGTTTTCCAACTTTGAATGGATGAAAAATAATTAGAAAAACTGGAAATTTTAGATGCGGGAAAGTCTACCATTGGAGGACAAGTTTTGTAAGTTGATTCTTAAATGTGTTTTAGTAATATTCATAACTACTTAAGTATTAAATAAATTTGTTGTTTAAAGATATTTAACAGGACAGGTTGACAAAAGAACGTTGGAGAAATATGAAAGAGAAGCGAAAGAAAAGAATCGGGAAACTTGGTATTAATGTCATTGTTGGTGTACAAATGATTTCACACCAAAGTTGGTTGGTCATAAACTTTATTTGTTTGTCTATTTTAGGTATTTATCATGGGCTTTGGATACAAACCAAGAAGAAAGAGACAAAGTATGTTGTATTTCCTTCATTAGTTTATTTGTAGAAGAATGGTCACAAATTATGACTTTTTAAACAATCTTCATCAGGGTAAAACTGTTGAAGTTGGTCGAGCACAATTTGAGACAGAAAATAAGAAATTCACATTACTTGATGCCCCCGGACACAAAAGTTTTGTCCCAAATATGATTGGTGGAGCTGCTCAGGCTGATCTTGGCGTTTTGGTAATTATGTTTGAAGTATGGTCTTGTTATGACCATTTAAACTGTTCTTGTTATGACCACGTAAACTGTTCTTGTTATGACCATTTAAACTGTTCTTGTTGTATGTTTTAGGTTATTTCTGCAAGGAAAGGTGAGTTCGAGACAGGATTTGAACGAGGTGGACAAACCAGAGAACATGCAATGTTAGCTAAAACTGCTGGAGTTAAACATTTGGTAATTCTCATAAACAAAATGGATGATCCGACAGTTGAGTGGGAAAAATCAAGGTACAATGGAAGATATCTCTTTGAATGTTTTGAAATTTTACCAATGTTGATTTTGCGTAGATATGATGAATGTAAAGAAAAGTTGGTTCCTTTTCTTAAGAAAGTTGGTTTTAACCCCAAAACAGGTTTATTAACGTTATTTTAAGTTTCTTTGACTTGTATAATTATTGCTAATATTTGAAAAATTATTGTATTTTTTAGATGTACATTTTATGCCTTGTTCTGGTTTAACTGGTGCAAATATTAAACAACCACTTGATCAAAATGTTTGTAGTTGGTACAGGTACAATGGCCGAAAACAGTTTCTCTGACATTACGAAATCACAGATACAAGTATTTTAATAAAATTTTTCTGAACTCTCTTCCAATAGTGGTAAACCATTTTTGACTTATATTGATAATCTTCCCAATCTTCAACGTTCTAATACTGGACCTGTACGTCTTCCCATCGCTGAGAAATATAAAGAAATGGGAACAATGATTCTTGGAAAATTAGAATCTGGTACAATAAGCAAAGGACAGACTTTAGTTATGATGCCAAATAAGGTAGCCATTGATTCTCTTTAAGTGTTAGTTTGTTTAAACTTGTACAAATCAGTGCTAAGATAAATGGCAATAACGTTGTTGTTGCCACTTAAATATACATAAATGTGAAAGTCTTTCTTCTGTTCATAATTTGAAATTATGTAGTTCAGTGTTTGCGGCATATTTTGTGCAAAAGATTTCTAGATTTTTCTTTTATTGAATATTTAGGTTTCAATCGAAGTAATGACTTTATATTCTGATGATTGCGAAACTACGCAGGCCTATTGTGGGGAAAATATTAAAGCTAAATTGAAAGGAATTGAAGAAGAAGTGAGTGGTGGTTTTGTATCAGACTTACAGTAAAGTATTTAAAATAATCTTTTTAATCCTCGTGTGAGGATGAAGAAAATTCATGGTCATTTCATTGCGTAAAAATAAAATTGACGATAAAGTATACTTTAAAGTAAATGGTTTGAACCCGGTAGTATCGTTACATGTTTGTAGATGAAGATCGTCCAGGTTGGTATAGTCCTGAGAAGGACTGTTTTTGTTGATGTCTTTTGACTCTGAACATGTCTACCTCTAAGGTTGTCGAAACGTCAGTCAACAAAAACATCAACAGTCCTTCTCAGGACTATACCAACCTAGACGATCTACATTTACAAACATGTAAAGAATACTTTCTCTAAAAAATACTTTTCTATTCTTTAGGATATATCTCCTGGTTTTGTTCTTTGTGAACCTTCATCATTATGTCATACAGTAAAGATGTTTAATGCTCAGGTTTGTGAGTTAGATCGTCATTATGTCATACAGTAAAGATGTTTAATGCTCAGGTTTGTGAGTTAGGTCGTCATTATGTCATACAGTAAAGATGTTTAATGCTCAGGTTTGTGAGTTAGGTCGTCATTATGTCATACAGTAAAGATGTTTAATGCTCAGGTTTGTGAGTTAGATTGTCATTATGTCATACAGTAAAGATGTTTAATGCTCAGGTTTGTGAGTTAGGTCCTCATTATGTCATACAGTAAAGATGTTTAATGCTCAGGTTTGTGAGTTAGGTCCTCATTATGTCATACAGTAAAGATGTTTAATGCTCAGGTTTGTGAGTTAGGTCGTCAAATACATAGTTTAGTTGATAGCATTTTCTCAAAGCTTACGATAATTGACATTTATTGTCAGTAATTTCATTATTATCATTAGCAGATTCACTTTCAGATGCTACAATAAAAGTAGTCCCAAAATATAAAGAGTGACAATTTGTTTTTGTACATTAAGTACAGAACTACTGTGTCATAACACAGTGTATTATGCATTAGAAGTTCAAGGGTATGGATAACTGCAAAAGGATTAACTTTAATTATTGTCTCGTGTTACTTTAACAGTGAAAAAATGTTGTATTTTGAATTTTGGTCATTAATCGGCAGGGTTTTCGTCATGCTAGGCGTACGCGCTGCGTGCCTATTTTAAACAATTGTTTTGTGTATCTTCATTTAACTTGTGTTTAAGTAAACTGTATTAAGTAAACAGCTTTCTGTTTTCATGGTTTGAAAATAGATGATAAAGTGTATAGCAAAGCGCGTCACTGAATGTTGAAATCTATTTTTCTTTTTAATTTAGGTTGTGATTCTCGAGCATAAATCTATAATTTGTTCTGGATATAGTTGTGTTTTACATATTCATAATGTTGTTGAAGAAGTCACTCTAATCGTAAGTTGTCGAGCATTCTTTTGACGATTCGTTTTTTACGTATTCCTAATGTTGTTGATGAATTTACGTTAATCAAGCGTTATTTTAACATGCTTCTAACGTCAAAATGTTTTTATCTTTCTTTCTATTACCAGGGAATAATTGCATTATTGGATAAGAAAACTGGCAAAAAAAGTCAGACACATCCAAGGTACGAAAATTTTGCAATGAATTATCATGGACTACTGTTATCCTCATTATCTCCTCTATTCAATGGCCTGTAGGACTATTGTTATCCTCATTATCTCCTCTATCCAATGGTCTGTAGGACTACTGTTATCCTTCATTATCTCCTCTATCCAATGGTCTGTAGAACTACTGTTATCCTCATCTCCTCTATCCAATGGCCTGTAGTACTATTGTTATCCTCATTATCTCCTCTATCCAATGGTCTGTAGGACTGCTGTTATCCTTCATTATCTTCTCTATCCAATGTTCTGTAGAACTACTGCTATCCTCATTATCTCGTCTATCCAATGGTCTGTAGGACTGCTGTTATCCTTCATTATCTTCTCTATCCAATGGTCTGTAGAACTACTGTTATCATTCATTATCTTCTCTATCCAATGGTCTGTAGAACTACTGTTATCCTTCATTATCTTCTCTATCCAATGTTCTGTAGAACTACTGTTATCCTTCATTATCTTCTCTATCCAATGGTCTGTAGAACTACTGTTATCCTTCATTATCTTCTCTATCCAATGGTCTGTAGAACTACTGTTATCCTTCAATATCTTCTCTATCCAATGGTCTGTAGGACTACTGTTATCCTTCATTATCTTCTCTATCCAATGGCCTGTAGAACTACTGTTATCCTTCTTTATCTTCTCTATCCAATGGCGTGTGGGAGCCTTTGCAATTTACTATTATTATCTTTTTTGTCTATGCAGGTTTGTAAAACAAGATCAGATATGTATTGCTAAGTTCCAAACTGATGGTATAGTTTGTATGGAAACATTTGCTGAGTTTCCACAAATGGGTCGATTTACTCTTCGCGATGAAGGTGTGTTTCTCATCCCTATTCTGTCATTCTTCTTAATTATGTTTCTGATGCATGTTTTTGTTTTTCTACATTGTCTTCAGGAAAGACAGTAGCCATAGGAAAAGTTCTCAAATTGAAACAATAGATGGAAGCAACGATGGCGACTTTCGTTGTATTTAAAGTTGTCGTGCAACGAAAATTCTAACCTATAATCGAAAGAAAATGATAAATTATCCAACTTTAAATATGTGTCTTTATGAACGAAATGGTTCAATGCTTTTTTGACCTCAAAACTACAACCATTTCGTGCACTTTTTATTGATTTTAAACTCTTGCTTTTAAGTTCTCGGATTATCACTTGGTCGTTTCATGATCTTGGTAGAAAAATTTGATTATGGAGTAATGAAAAAATAAACAAAAATGTAACTTGCGCTCTGCTTACTCAATGTAAGACATGTTAGCTAATATCATAGAATAAAACTTATGCACTTTAATCATTCAATAAAGTTTGAAGTCGGGAGTATGTATTGCAAATATTTGCAAGCAGTTCTACTCTCGAAAAACTCGAATATAGTATTTACTATTTTTTTTATTTACTTCATTATTTAGCATATTGATTATTTTCGAAAGTTTAAAAGACTGACGGAAAATTTTTACCGTAAATGTTTCATTTTTAAAAATATAGTTTGTTGAGAGAATACAAGCAAAATATTTTCGCGTCTTTTCAACTGCGTGAGTGGGATTTTCCAGTAGTATTCCAGGAAAAATACCTTGAAACATTTTTGATGACGTGTTAAAATATCAATGTCTCCTATGTCAAAATCATTGATCAAATAAACATCTCAACATCAAAAAATTTATCTTAGTTTGCTTCATAAGTTAAGATCATCCGAACTATTTAATCTTTGATTTCTTTCATTTCACAATTTATTTCTAAAATCTATTGTTTTTACTGTGTATTAACACCAAAATGATAAATTAGGTGGCTTCATATTTCATTTCATAAGTATGAAACACCTGTTTCTATTTAAAATTACCTAAACAATGCAACTTGGACTATTTTATGTTCTTCTGGTGCAATTGAAATAAGAAAGTCAAAGAATTAATGACTTGAACATATCTGAATCTAAAAACATTGTTCAGTTTCTTTTGATTTTGTATATGTCTTGTTCATTTTTATTCTAAATTTGAGTGACTAAGGATTTATACAGTATTATATAACTACTGCAAGGGTTTTTAAACCACATTTCGTGACGACTTTAATCGAGTAAAACGTGAAAACAAAAGGCTTTCAGTTTTTAATTTTCTTTCAGTTTGTATTGTCTGAAATCATGCAGAAAATAATATTTAATTTGTTTCATTGACATCACAGTAAAATAGTTTATATGCGATGATAAGTAGAAGCACAAGTAAAAGAAATGGTTTTATTTTCGCTTGTTTATAGAACAACTCTCTCTCTCTTTAAATTTTCTGTTGAGGGACAAATGGGGATTCTGGTGAGACGAGAGATTTTGCAGGTATATGAGTGAAAATTATATCAATTATTATGATAAACAGCCGTGTACGTCATTTATTTTTGTCTATCACACAAAGCCTTTAAGGATTTAAAATATTTAAAGAGAGCAACAAACAACAGCCGAGGAAAGAATACGAAAACTGAATCATCCAAAGTCAAAAAATTGACAATAAAAAGTGACCAATAGAAATTTCTCGTGGCTGGTGGTGTCATTTTGACATTGGACTTTAAGCGTCTTTTGGTGGATGGTAAATCGTCTCTAAAATTTCCATTTTAAAATAAAATGATTGAGTCGAAGTTGCGATGAATGAAGAAAAGGATTGTTATTTTAAAGGAGACTTTAAACTTGGTCCTACATTTATTGATGAATATGTTGTCAGTATTACAAATAAATCTATATTGTATGAATCGAAATCCACAAAAGTTGTTCATGAAATTAACTTGGATAATGTTGTTGGGTCACACGTCAGTAAATCATCCATGGACAATACGATGGCAATAAAGAATACGATTCATATTATATCTTATCCTTTTAAAAAGAGGATGTTTTCTTCATCATTACAAAGATGTCGAGTGGAGCACGTATTTAGTGCAGCCAATGATGGAAATGTAGAAAATAGTTTGGAAACTGCAGAGAAATTTGTTCGTTGCATCAAGTGGCTTTTGGAGAAACCGTCCGATGGCATTATGATCACTGAATATAAAGGTGCGTGTTGGTTTTTTATTAGTTTTATCAATTTCTCTAATACTCTGTGTATATATCGATGATTTGGCGTGAGAAAATTTTGTACAGTACCATGCTTGCAACGTGGCGTTTTTGTACTTGTGTAGATAATCCTCGTCAACAGCAATTCTTAATCTTCATTAATCCTTTTGGCGGTCAAGGTTCAGCCAAAAATATCTTTGAAAAAAACATAAAACCCATGCTTGATGATGCTAATGTGGATTTTGACACAAAAATTACTGGTATGTTTTGTTTCATTTGTTTTATTTTGCTCAAACTAACTTGAATTGATAATTTATTGTATTTAGCTCATAAGGGACATGCTCAAGAAATTATTGAAAATATGAATGACTTGAAGAAATATGATTGCATTGTATGCTGTAGTGGTGATGGTATTGTCAATGAGGTAAGGATTGCAATGGACATTGAAGGATAATGAAGAGCAAATGTACTTGAATAAATTATCAAAAATCATTTCAAGACTGAAGTAAATTTTTGTAATGTTGTAGGTAATAAATGGTTTGATGCGACATCGTGATTGGGAAGAAGTTATCAAAATACCTCTGGGTCACATACCGTGTGGTTCAGGAAACGGTCTTTGTGCTGCAGCTTTACATCATGCAGAGTGTGTAGAGTTATGTTTTAATTTTATTATGCTCAATTTTATTAAAACATTGAAATTCTTTATCGTTCATAGTGAACCGTTTGATTTGGTGAGCTCAGTGTTCAACGTCATCACTGGTGATAACTTACCAATGGATATTATAAAAGCTCAAACAAGTAAACAAGAAGTTCGATATTCGTTTCTTTCAATTGTGTTTGGTATTGTCTCCGATGTTGATATTGAGTCTGAAAGATTTCGATTTATTGGTGATCTCCGATTTTCTATTGTCGCAATTCAAAAGATTTTTTCAAAAAAAGTCTTCTCGGGAAAACTTTGGTATCTCCCTGCCAGAGATGATTCCACAATGACACATCTAAACAGTGACATGAAATGTAGAAAAAATTCTTTACATTGCCAAAGGGAAGATGGTGTTGTACAAAGTGAGGACAATGAAACCTTGAATGGTCATCAAAACAAAGCAACAAAAAGCTCTACAGAAGATGAAAAGTTTAACGATTGTGATGTAGAGAAATCCAAAGTACAAAATGGTGTTTTTAGTGATCAACGAATGATCAATGAATCGACTACAACATGTAGTCCCTTTATTCATACAAATCTTCCTGATTTTGATGAAGAAATTCCAGAGACCTGGAAACTAATTGAGGATGATTTTGTTGGGCTCTTATTTCTGAGCCTTTCCCATATTGGTAATAACGTATTTTCTGCACCAAAAGCGACTTTTGGTGATGGTATTATACATTGCATGCGTTTTCATGGCGGAATGAGCAGAACAGAACTTGTTAAGGTAATGACAAATTTTCCTACTGGAGAACATGTGAACGTCAACAATCTAAGCATGTACGAAGCACGTGCTTTTCGACTTGAGTCAACTTCGTCGACGTCAGACATCATAACAATGGATGGAGAAAGGTTTCAATGGGATAAACTACAGGCGGAGATCTATAAAGGACTGGCACGAGTAAGATGTCGTCTTCCTAATAAGGAGAAGTGTAATTATCTTAAATAAAACAATGTTCGATAGTGGAAAATTTATTATTGTCATTGGGAACTCTCAATGATTTGTACTGGAATACTGAGTAATTTTCAAAGCTGAAAATTAAGAAAGGTGAATATTAATGCATTTTTTTTGTTTTTCTCTTATGAAGATTTGACTATTATAGTTTTTACATTAAAAGTATTGTTACCTGTTGTTAAACCAGTCTTTTGATAATAACAGTGTTATTGAAACTTTTTAATTACAAATGGCGATGTTAAGGTTCAGATAAAGACAGGGAAAAAATACACTAATAACCAAAATTCTCGGAAAAATAGAAATTCTCAGAAAATAATCAAATTTTCTATTTAAACATTTCATGCATAACTATTTGAAGCCTTTGAGTGGTAAAGAATGGTTATTTCATTTTATAATTTAACTGTAACAATTCTTTAATGTGTAGGTTTTCCCTTTCAGTGTTGTGTTTATTATGCTATTTTTTTCAACTCATTTATTATAAATAATAATAATGAAGTACTCTGTTGACAGCTGCGAAAAATTGCTTTTATAATGCGTCGTTTAAACTTGTAGAGTCTTCGCATTTTGTATGAATTAACTGACATAATTTGGAGATAAAGTAAATGGTTTGAACCCGGGAGTATCGTTGCATGTTTGTAAATGTAGATCGTCCAGGTTGGTATAGTCCTGAGAAGGACTGTTTTTGTTGTTGTTTACTGACGTTTCGACAACTATAGCGGTAGACATCATTTGACTGTGAAGATGACTACCGCTAAGGTTGTCGAAACGTCAGTCAACAACAACAAAAACAGTCCTTCTCAGGACTATACCAACCTGGACGATCTACATTTACAAACATGTAATAATTTGGAGATTTTCAAGAAGTTATCTAGCGCTATCAAATCCCAGTATTGATCTCAGAAATTTTCTTACAATTTTTTTATAATTTACAATATTCAGTCAAGTATAACACGTTTAAGCACTAGGCTGATGAACGTCTTCAAATGTTTAGAAGAAAAGGAATTTTCCTGAAAAAGATATGAAACGTAAAATGTGGAGTTTTTGGGAAAAAAGTGACTTCATAGTATTACCTAACACGTTTTCCTAACAGAACTGTTAACTACATTTTGAATAGAAATTTTGTTGACCCTAGTTTTTGCGCTTGGTATAAATTATAAGCAACAACATTTTAACTCATCGCATTTTTTATTATCTTACTGCGAGATAACAAACACAAAGTTTTTTGGTATTTAATGAGGACTTCACCCAAGGGCAGGACTCAGCTATATGCAAAATAAATTATTTCAACTTAATGATTGATTTATTTGTATTATTTAGAAATTCATAACCAATTATTTTTATATAAACGTATTTTAAATTTAAAATTAGCGGTTGTAATTTATTTTGCCTGACACTGGTCCGCTATTGACCATTTGACTTGACGAATTGTGGCAATTATAAGTCCTTGCAAATGGATGAATTTAGTCAAGCCTGACAACGAATTGTTAAGGACGAAATTTAATAGTTCTGCGCTTTTACTGAAAAATGTCTTTCATGTAGAAGAGAGATATTTGCGGCACTGGTTGAAAATTTTATTCAAAGAGAGAGCAACACTATAAATCCTTCCTTGACTTTAGTGAACTTGTGCATTAGGAAAGGTGAGTGCAGTTCATTTTTATAGGAATAGTGCCTTCAACTATTAATATATACAATTGAATGCACCAAAAATATTTCACGCGAATAAATATCTTAACTACTAGACCTCTTGTCTGCGTAGCGACTTTGCCTATGTAATAAAAATTCCAACAAAGGGATCACTTCTCGACAAATATGAATATCTAATGTGGGAAGGCTTGCTTTCCTAAGCACACAGATATATTTGCGAGGAATCCTGGGTATGAAGGGATTTATTTAAGAACATTTCGTTCAAAACGGTTTTTAACGCTATAAGATCGAAGTATTTGTTGTTTAAGGCTTTGTATATAAAAGTAAAATGAGCAGTGTTTATCACAAAGCTGCTAAAGATGGTTTGATTGAAGTTATTGAACGTATCAATAAACGCGATGCTAATAAACGAGATGAAGACGGGATGACTCCAGTACATTGGGCTGCAAGTTGTGGTCGACTGGATTGTCTTGAAATTCTTTGTGCTAAAGGGTTAGTAGAATTTCTTTGTTAGAAATACTGGCATTACTATCATAATAGTTTAGTTGGATTTATCATTTGTGAATCTCAGTAACGAAGTCGAGAAATGAATTCTATGAAAATCAAGTTTTGAATTTTTACTATATGACAATAATAAAGTGGAATTGTTTTTAACAAAGATTCTTTTTTTAAAAGATTGTTAAGTTTTTATTTAAACCAATATAACTAATAAGTTCTTTAACCGCTTTCGGAAATCTTTAAGAGGTTCTTGTGTTGTCAAGATAATATCCCGTGGTTTGTGGGGTAATTAATGGTACTATATTATTTATGGTAATTTGAATATTTTTATCGCCTCGTTGCCTGCTCAATTTTTCAATATGAATGTTAAAAACGAGAAGCTTAGAATTTCTTGTGTTGACTCAAGTTCATATTTAAATTATGAACATAACAGAACATTGGAAAAAGAGGTTTTTCCTTCCATTTAAGTTGCGTGATAAAATGGTAATTTCGAAATAGAAGGTAAATTCTTTTAAATTTTAATTAAGGAAGTACACCGTGAAGTTTTATGCAACAAATGGTGTTATGTTTTTTACTCTGTGAATTTGTTTTTCTCATTTTGTGATATATTAAAGTTTTTTGTTAGTCATTAAAGACATACTTACTGTTGAGAGGTTTATGCATTCATGTACTATAAAAAAATGTCAAACGTTCTTACAGAGGTGACCCAAACAAAACATGCAACGATGGATCAACGAGTGTACACATAGCTGCTGCTTGTGGACATTATCACTGTCTTGTGTTTCTGACAAAATTTGGTGCCAGTATTTGGTCCTTAGATAACCAGTATCACACCCCCCTGGAAGAGGCAGCATCACGTGGACAACTTGAGTGTGTTCATTATTTGGACCACGTGACAGCTGAACAAATGTTACATCATAAAGCAAGTGTAAGTAAACAGAAAATAGAAGCGGAGAAACTTGCTAGAAAAAGAATGAAAAAAGTTCAACGTGAACAGAAGAAAAGAGATAAAGAATATGTAAGACGTTTTGAAATAGACAATGGTGTCTCAAGGAAGAAAAACAAAAAACATATGACGAAGGACTTGGGGAGAAATGAGCAAAACAATTATATTTATGGAACATCTCGTGATGGATTTGACACCTTGAATAGTACACAAAGCCTTCGTAGATTTTCACAGATAACTAGACTAAAGCTCGGTAAAGGCACCACTCGTTCAGCACCAGCTGACAAATCTAACATAACTAAAGGTTCTGTCAGGCAGACATTTCTCGCTCCTAGACTAAGATCTTCCAGCACGTATGTAGTCAATAATTCCAAGTCACAGAGTCTAACCAACCTAGATAGTGCCAATGTGATTTTTAAACCGAAAGCAATTCGACATGCATCAAGTAGTGTTTTTGAGATTCCAGAAGAACAGTCTGGAAGATTCTCCTCTGATAATTTTGCTAAAATTCAAACCTACGTAGATAACGTTGAGAAATATGGTAGCATGTCAAGTTACAACAGCCATAATTCAACTTTTCCAAGCTCACAAGACAGTTGTACGTCTAGTTGGTCAATAAATTCTGACATAGAAACTATTATTGATGCAGAAAACCATGTAGAAATAAGTGATTTACATTTTGCATCACTGACGACCTTCTTAGCTTCGTTAAATCTAGAAAAATTCACTTTAACCATGAGAAAAGAAGGTATTGATATGAATTCGTTGGCTCTGTGTACAGACGATGATCTTAAGTCTGTTGGGCTACCTTTAGGACCACGTAAGTTAATTTTAGAAGCAGTTCAAAAAAGAAAGAAAGCAAGCGATGACCCTGGCCCTTTAGTTGACACGTATTTGTAAAAAGAAAAAGGTTTTAAAACACAAAGAACGAGACAGAGACGTTACAGATGAAAATTCTGCCACATGACACAAAATCTGATCACTCAAGTACAGTTCTTCCTAACTCAAGAATCTCGACCCTTTCTCTTTGAGTACAACTTTGTTTCATGAAATCATTCAGTTGATCGCAATGATATTTTGAGAATTTACAAATTCATTCCTTGTAATAAACTAACAATTTTAATTTACATTTTGGTGCTACATCTTTTATTAAACGTTTTGAGGAAGGAAGTAGAATACTTTTTATTTATCCGCTGCCAATTTAAAATAAAACATGTAAACAAGAACATTCTTTCTTAGTTTAAATAATAACAGCAAACGTATTTAACGAATTTAAGAAAGAGCATTTTTGTGTGTTGTGAAACGCTGAACTACACAAACAATCAACACCATTTCAAAACACAGTCGAAATGGTATTTTTACCCACGAAATGGTATTTTTATCCACGCCACCATGACCTTGGTTGTATTAAAAATTTCTTGGAATTCAAGTTTACTGAAGTAATTACTTATTGATCATACATTTATACCTATCGTCACCTATTGACGCCTTGAATGAAAAAATGACAGGAAATTAGCTTTCTTAGAAGGAAGTTGACAGAAATTGTAATAAGTGGCCACAATAATGACAGGATTCGAATGATAGAAACAAAAAAATGTTATCTCGATGTGCAGTCAAGTATTGATTGAGTGACTAGTCAAATATTGAAGACGAAAGAAACTTTAAGAATGCGCTATACTTTTTTATAAAATAAAGTCAATGTCATGTGGAGCATATTAAATAACAATAGCTCATTTGCCTTTTGCCTTTGAAACAGACCTTTCTCATTATTTATTTACCATCAATTAGAAATCGGTGAAAGTTTCTCGCAGTTTCAAATGACAAGCAGCTCAAAAAATGAAAATAGTAAAAATGAAAAATAACGAAAATCTTGGCATCAATAAAAATGGTACTGTGGGATTTTTTAATGAAATGATTGCGACTTTTGAATGTATGTTTACAATTCGAATATGATTCAAATTTTTTTCTCCCATTAGATTGTAACCTGATATTAACACATTGCACATAGGACATATATGGATATTCAAAACTATGAACCTTTAGATTGTAATCCAGTTGGTTCAGTGACCAGTGTTTCAGTAACTTGCCTGGTGTTACGAGAACAAGGCCAACTTATTTTTCTTTACATATTCTAATAGACGAATAGTGTTTTTTCTTTCTTCAAAATGGTGACTTCGCTGATATTTTGGATAGTTCCTTCGCTGTTGAGCCTTGTGGACAAACCAACAATGGCCGTCTCCTTAAACAAATCATCAGACGGTTAGTAATTCATAAACTGCAAACTGGTCTTAATCTTTGTCCTATATAAAGTATTATTCCGCTTGCTTGGGGCTATTATTTTGTCTATTAAATGTTATGTCGGCGAAATTTCTTTGTAAGAACAATAGGCTGGATTAAAAATATTTTACTCTACTTAATGATTATTGATGTTGTGATTATTATTAATTACATAACATTGTAAACAACTTCATTTGTGCTGGACAACACAAAATATGTTTGAAATATTCAGTGTAATGAAAATGCATGAATAAGATCAAATGCTGATTTGCTATTACCCTCCCCAAGATCCTTGTAAAAGTGGTCATGTGGTTCTAACTTTAGATTTCACAATATAGAACAGCCAGAAATAATAGATTGCAATTGCAAAAGAGTAGTTTAGTAAAACACTCTGTAAATTGTCAACATTTTTAATTCTAAACGTTTCAACAATGTTACATCACATTGCCAAAGCTTTTCGAGATGTATATAAAATAATAGTGTATTTAAATTTGAGTTTTACGTATAGGTTTTTTTGATTTTTCGAAGTATCTTAGATCAAACATGTAAATTATAGTGCATAAGAAAAAATAACTGATGTTTGATAGATGATCAACTTATGATTTAACTAAAGAATATCATATGATTTGGTATCTCACACCAGGAGAGGCTGGCTCATTCGAACTGTTTTTGTGTCAAATAAATATGTTTCGTGAGTAGAATTTTATTAAGTATTACTTCAGGCTTTTGAATGTTCTTATGTCAACAAAATTCCTTTGTACGTTCTATAGGGGGATAAGATTTTATTTTCACCATTTATTGTGCTTTGAAATGGCGTGCTTTTGACGGTTTTGTATTCATGCTTTCTTACGTACATGCATGCATTGTAACTTTTTAAACAAGAAAAAACCAACTCTTGTGGTTTTTAAAACTAAAAGCTGCCATTTTATTATTTTTGCCTTATTAAGTTTTCGTTGCGGAATGACGAAAGTGAGGTATTGACCTGTTTACTTTGGTCGATTAAAGGGTATCAGTTTACAGCAAAACATGCCCTCTTGAATTTTTGGCGTCTTGTGACTTTTTTTATCACTTTCATCGTTGCCATTTTTTTTCTAAACTTCCTGTTTCAGTTTTCCTGCTGTTTTGACCAAAGCTTTCCAAGAAGTGCGCGAAATAATTCAGCATATTTAAATTAAGTTTTAGTGCGAAGATTTTTTGCGCTTTTGAAATATCTTACATAAAACATGTAGAATATCAAAAGAAAAATACAACAATGTTTTATGATCTACTTATGATTGAACTGAATAATGTCGTATCATTTGGTTTCTCATACGAGAAGAATCTGGTAAATCAAAACTGTTTTTTCTTTCAAATTTCTCGTAACATTTTTCATTATCTCAAATTATATGTTAAACTTCCTCAATTAACTTCCCCCAAAGCCGTGAAACAATAATTATACCTACAGGTCATATCTTTCAACTCAGCATTTGAGCAACATATGGAAACGATATCGCATGGAGTTTCGACTCATTGACAAACATACGACATGAGACTCCATGGTTTATAAATTTGAAGATTGGGCCATCCAAACACGGGAATTGTTTCATCATCAGAACACGAGTGTATAAAACAAAAATGATCACAATGACCATATCGTTCTCGTGAAAAAGTTTTTTATCCTATCTTATGTTTAACCTCATGTCCTGCAAACATTTTTCCATTTTTCTCATGTTTGGCAAGCAATTGGAATGATTATTGTCTAACACTGATGCTTTAAACTTTTTGAAATATTTTGGTCATGAAAATTTCCTCATCCCAAAAACGGTTTCTATGGGTTAGCAAATGTCATAGATTTTTGGACAAAATCTGCGAATTATTAACGTTTTCTGGTTATAGAAGTGTCTAGTCTATTTTCATCGTCTTGATTTCTTTTCTTTCATACTCATTGTATGGAAATTGTAGCCTCGTTTGTATGAGCTATGGATTGTTAGCTGTTTGTGTGAATATATAGAGTGTAACCTTCCACTTGGCGTTGGTGATAGACAAATTGCAGACAGTCAGTTAACGTCACCTGCCTTTGTATCACATTTATACATCGCAAAAGAAGATATTTATATAAATGCCAAGCCAAACTATGGTCGACTGAATCGAAAATATTCTTTTTGTGGCAGACGTTTCTCATATTTACAGGTCAGTTTCTCGTTAATCCATTTATGAAGAGATCAGTTTCTTTTAGGACATTCCTTTTTGCTTACAAGATTAATCTAAAATTGTCCTACATTCATTGTCTATTATCCATTATTGAAGATCATTTCATGGAGATATTGTTTATTTATAGGTCAATCTTAGTTACGTTGTAAACGTGACAGCAGTTGCTACACAAGGTCTTGACGATTGGGTACCAAGTTTTGTTAAAACTTACCGTCTTCGTTTCAGTTTAAATGGTCAAGATTGGTTCAACTATAGCACTCCAAATAAGGTAGGAGTGTTTACAGTTTAATAACTGAACATAATAACTGAACAATTTGTGTGTTAAAGATCATGTTTCATTTATTCTTTATCAAGGTTTGGCGAGGAAACATCAACGGTCGTGGCATAAAACGAAACAATTTCAACTCTTCTATACAGACTCAATATTTACGTTTTTATCCTCAACGTTATAATTATGAAAGATGTCTTCGTGTGGAGGTCTATGGCTGCAAGTCAAGTGATCCTGGTATGAATAAACTGATGATGTCTTCTGTTGTTGCCAAAATCAAACATTTTTAAAAATGTTTCAATTTCGAAAACTGATGCAACCTCTCCTGTAGATAATGGAAAGTTCACCCCTGCGAAAACTGATGCAACCTCTCCTGTAGATGATGGAAAGTTCACCCCTATGAAAACTAGTGCAACCACTCCTATTGATGATGTAAAGGTCACCCCTACGGAGGTGCTAAAGCATGTGAATAATACTAAGGTCACTGAGACTCTTGTAGGCGCTGATGACGTTGTTTCTCAAACTAATGTTGCATTGGTGTTGGGCCTTTGTATTGGATGTTTTGCATTGGTCGCCTTGACTATTTTCGTTTTCTTCTTACTTAAACGTAAAGCAGCAGCCAAAAAACCAGAAGCTTTTTACAGGTATAACTTATTGATTATTTTAGTGCTTATTTTTGGAGGAATGTGATTTTGTTTATGAAAGAAACGAGAATTCCAGCTAAGAAATCATTCAATGTTGTCCTACGTCATGTTATATGAGTATTGTGTCTTAGCACATTTGAAAGGTAACGTTGTCATTCATATGACCGACGCCAGCACATTTATTATCTTGTTAGTGTAAGTTTGGAAGCTCGTTTTGAATTAGGAAAATTTGGATTGCAACTTTCGATAAAATAAGTGTAATTAAGTAAATACTTTATTTTATTTAAGATTGGTCAAGAAAGAACTCGTCTGATAACTGCGTCGTCTCAAGATTTTAAGGCCAGTTTTTGTTGTAAAATATTTAAATGTCCTCCACAAACTCCTTTGAAATTTTGGGATGATTGATTCAGTGACAGAGTGAGTATTAAAGAACAACGAGATGCAGTAGTTTACTTAAATAATTTTTTTTTGAGAAATTTTCTGAAAACTGGTGACTTAAACGGAATTTTTTCTTACTTTCTAACATCACTAACATATAAATTTTCTATTGTTTGAACCTACTGCTCACTAAGTCGTCATGACACACAGATAACACTTGAGCATTTCATATTTCTCGTCAAAGAAATACTAGTTTTCAGGAAATGTCTCGTCTTAGTTCTTTAGAGAGTTTTTTTAATTATTTGTGTTTAAAAAACACGCGATGTAAATATAACGATACTCAGTGTTTATTTTGTACAGAACTTCAGTGTAGGTTTGTGCTTGTGAGCCGGCTATACATCGCACAGCAGCAGCCTAAGTCAGAAAATTAACGATTCATCTTTAAGTACACAGCTCCGGGGGGAGTTTGTATATTGTCAAAAATGAAAGTGTTATATTTTAAATGATATAACTTTAAAGGAACTTCAAAGTTTTTTGAGTCTTCAGTAATTAAGAAAAGAAATTATTAAATAATTTCAAAACATTAATTCTATTTTCAACAAAGATTCAATTTTCACTTCCTGTATTGGAACATTAATACCATAAATGAAATATTTATCCATGTGCATAGGGTTCCATCCCCAGTTTTTAGCCCTTCGAAAATATTTTAACTCTCAGCATTTTTGACATAACTTAAAATCCAATGAAAGAGCTTTTCACAGACGTTTTTATGGTCCTTGCGAGAGAATCTAAATCATACCTTGCTTTTCTCAATTACTGAAGGCCAAAAGACGAAGAGTATTTATACACAATGCCAGAGTGTGTTTGTATTGTCTCTGCCACCGTCCATCTTAAAGATTTGTTGTTAGGATAGTTTAAATGTTTAATGTTTATTAATGTTAAAACTTTTTGTTGTATTTTGTGTTTATAAACTGGCATGTTAAAATATATTTTCATACAAAAAATCCAGACCAATATTCTTATTCCTTAGGTTTCATTTGATAGAAATTAGTAACCCTGAGATAGCATTGGTTAATAACAAAGTGTCGCTCTACGAGTCTACGTCAAAGACACACTGTGTCTCACCAACACCAATTTATAGTCTTATATGTAACGATAGAGTTTAAAGTTTTCAAACGTCTTTCTATACTTGCTAAATTTCGACATGTTGTGGTTAATTATTAAATAAAAACAACATTTTCCATAACTTAACAAGCACGCCTTCGCAACAATGAGTTAGCCGTTAGTAACGTCAAGTTTTGAAACTATTAACAAACTTTAAATTTATGCACGCCGCACGGTCGATTGCAAATGGCTGTATTTGAAGATAAATAATCAGAATTTTGGCTTTGCATTCATTTCTTGTTGAATAGGTAGGATTTTTGGATGTAAAAGAAATGAAAGAAAAGAGACTTTTCTCATTTTGAATTGAAACAAAAGTCTTGCTAGATTTTTCATGGTAA